GGGGGGGGGGGGGGATGTGTGTATTTTTATATGCTTTTTTGATTTGATGACTTTTGGGTTGCGTGTTACAGCGGATTTTGTATATGTTTTTTTTTTGGATTTAGATGGGTAGAATTGGAATGGGGGATGGGGGGTACTATATATATATGGTGGCGGAAAAGCTCTACGAGGCACACTGGAAAGTAGATTTGGAGCGGTGGCTTGGTTTGGTCTGGGAGGGAAGGAGCCAAGAAGGGCTTTTTTTATTATTACCTCGGGTGAGAGGGGTACGGCGGGATGCGGGAAGGAGCGAGTTGGGGGCGTACAATGTAGGGACAGGGCGGGGGGTTGCAGTTGGGAAATGAGATCTTGAAAGGCATGTGATCAGTCGAAATACTTATGAGAGTTCGAAGACTTGTGACTTATACTGTTATTCTTATGTGAAGCTATTCGCACAGACTAAGCTAAGCTAACCTAACCTTTGAAGAAGGTAGCTTCGATCGGGGATGGTGGATGGTTACCCCAGATCTCGGATCAACCTTCCTCCCTCCCCGCCCCCGAACTTGCTCCAGTGCAGTGGCCGTCAGACGCTAATTCAGACCCCTAAACCTTATCCCGACCCATTTGCGGGGAACGCGCTGATGTGCCAGGGAGGTTCCCTCTTACTTCCCGGTTGAACAGAAGCAGAACATTCGATCAATCTTTGGCAAAAATGCCATTCTTGCAAGCCCAAAAAATCGTCAGGTAATTACTTTTCTACCGCAGTAATAACGGCCAACGACCTAACCTGCACACACCACCACTACACCTTGCTATACAGAACACAAAGATATATTAATTAACCTACTCAACTTACCCCACCCCCCCAATCCCCCATAGGCAAAACAAACACCCTGACAGCCCACGCGCCACGAATAAAGTTTAACCCACACCTTTTTCCACCAGTGACAGCTGTTGATCGAAGCTTAACACAAAGAAGAACCGCCTGCCACGCCCGCGCGCGCATCGCCAATCCCCTCGGTTCTCCACGGACTCGATTCGATACGACACGGTAGGGAGTGCCGGCCGGGCATCCGGGTGCGGGGGAATGGCAGGACTGGGATTGGGGATTCAGGCACGACGGATGCCCGGGGGGGGGGGGGTGCGACCTAAGATGCGCATTGTCTGGAAGGGGGTGTGTGGTGATCTATATTGGGGGGAGGGGGCAACAGACGAAATGGGGAAGTGCTGGGGATTAGCCTGTTTGTGTTTAATCAAGAAGAGGGAGCGGTTTTTTATGGGCTTTGGTTACCGAGGTGTGTGGAGAGGGAGAGGGTATATGTTGATGGATATCATATATACCCTCAACCTTTCTCACCTTCAAGGTTTGCCTCCTCTACATCACGCAGAAGTCCCCAGCAGCTCCCCTTAGCAGCAATCCTGTCAAGACAAGCAACCATGCGCTTCCTCGGCGCCTCCCTCGCCGTGCTGGCCTACGCCGGCCCAGCTCTGTCTCAGACAGCTATCACCGTCAACACCGCCACCCAACTCCAACAAATGGACGGCTTCGGCGTCTCGCAAGCCTTCAAGCGCGCCGCCGAATTCCAAGCCATGTCCTCGGGCCCGCGCAAACAAGGCCTCGACTACCTCTTCAGCACCACCACCGGCGCCGGCCTGACCATCATCCGCAACCGCATTGGTTCCGGCGGCGCAGGCGACAGCATCTTACCCACCAGCCCTGGCTCACCGGGGGGTACACCCAAGTACCAGTTCGATGGGAATGATGAGGGGCAGGTGTGGTTTTCGCAGCAGGCGATGGCGTATGGGGTTAGTACTATCTATGCGGATGCGTGGAGCGCGCCGGGGTTCATGAAGACGAATGGGAATGAGAATGGGGGAGGGTATTTGTGTGGGAGTTCCGGGCACGCGTGTTCGAGTGGGGATTGGAGACAGGCGTTTGCGAATATGTTGGTGCAGTATGTGAAGTACTATGCCGGTGTCGGGGTGCCGATTACGCATTTGGGGTTCTTGAATGAGCCGGACTATGTGTGAGTTCTTTCTCTTCCCCAAGGCCGTGGTTGGTTTGAAGAAAGAGAGGGCCAGGCTAATGTGACACCCAAGCCCAACATACTCCGGCATGCAATCCGACGGCACCAACGCCGCCTCCTTCATCCCCACCCTCTCCGCGGCCGTCAAAGCCGCCGGTCTCAGCGTCAAACTCACCTGCTGCGACGCCATGGGCTGGGAAAGCCAAAAAACCATGACCTCCCAACTCGTCTCCGCAGGAATGGAGCAATACCTCAGCGTGATTACCTCGCACGCTTACACCAGCGACCCCAACAGCGCCATGTCCACCACCCTCAAGAAATGGCAGACCGAGGCGTGCGATCTCAAATCCGCGTGGTCGGCGACGTGGTACTCGAATGGGGGTGCCGCGGAGGGACTTACCTGGGCGACGAAAATACATAATGGGGTTGTTAATGCGGGGTTGTCGGCGTATCTGTATTGGGAGGGCGTGGAGGTTAACCAGTTCCAGGCGTCGTCGTATTTGGTTGCGAGTGATGGATCGACTGTTACGCCGTCGGGGAGGCTGTGGGCTTTTGCGATGTGGTCACGCTTTGTGAGGCCGGGCGCGTACCGTGTGGCTACTACGGGGACGGTGTCGTCGGTGGGGATTGCGGCGTTTAAGAATACGGATGGGGGGGTGGCGGTGGTTATGACGAATACGGGTGGCTCGGCGCAGAGTGTCAAGATCTCGGTCTCGGGACTGGATGTTACGGCTGCTAAAGCGTATCTTACGGATAACAACCACTCCGTCGCCGAAACGGCATCGACCCTCTCTGGCGGCGCCTTGACGGTGTCGGTGCCTGCCCATGCGATGGTGTCAGTCGTGTTGACTGGTGGTGGCGGCGCGACGACTCCGCCGGCTAATACGGATGTGCCGACTAGCACGGTTGTTACGCCGCCGGTGACGACGACGCAGCCGCCGGCGACGGGGACGGTGGAGCATTGGGGACAGTGTGGGGGGAGTGGGTGGACGGGGGGGACGGTTTGTGTGAGTCCGTTTACGTGCCAGGTGTCGAATCAGTGGTATTCGCAGTGTCTGTGAGTGATTCAGGGTGAGAGGGTTAGGGAGAGCCTTGGGGGGAGAGGTTGGGGTGGTTCAGTTTGGAAATAGGGGCAGGGTGGTTTGGCAGCTCGATGAACCGCCAGTCTGGCTGCTCGTTCTTAGACAGTTGGGTCTGGTGGGGATTCAGATTTATGGTACATATATTCAAGAACGTACATATTCCGCACTTTTCGATTGGATAGCTTGAATGTCGTCTGATGTTGGGTCGTAGCTGTGGGGACGGGACGGGTCGTGATTGTGATTGTCATTTATGATCCGTAACACAGAGAATATATAGAGCGACACGGCAACGAGAATGAAGTATGGAAAGCCCAACTATTGCCGGAGATATTGGTTGCCATCACTATATAGCAAGAGAACTGTCGTGCCACAGCGTGCCACGTTGGCGAGATTATGTTGTGAGACACATGGCGACTGCAGGTAGAATATATGTAGAATATAAAGTTTACTTCGAATCCAACAATTCCTCAATGAATCTTCAGGAATTCAAATGGCTATATCAAAACTCCTTATTATAATAAATAATAAATAAGCCCATCGCCTTTCACGTGCGCGTTCTTCGTCTTCATATTATAATTGCCGTCGTTGTTTATGCTCATCCCTGATGTTCCAGCCCCTTTGTCGCCAACGCACGCACCGCCTTATCTTATCGCATTGCCTAGCCAACCACGTCGGACTCACAATTTGTAGAATCCACACGCACCCGCAAGGGTCTCTCAACACTCCAAACATAACACCAAACTCTAGCTCACTTTATATAATATCAACACAATCTCACAAAATTGCGCCCGTTCCTTCTTCCACCACCACCATCGTTCTCTCGTCACATACCTATATTCACGCATAGCTTTACATCTATACTCAGCTCTTGCATTGCTATCCACACGACTAGGACTTAAGATCGTCAATCCCCAGCGTCCAGACCACTATAACTTCATCCCGCCAAGATAAAAAGACCAGGCACCTCATTCTCAGCGCCCACCGCCCCAAATGTTCACCCGAGGCAGGTCGAAAGACCGCACCTCAAGGAAGGTGACTCCGCCATCAGCATCTTACATGTCGAACGATCAATTCGGTTTGAAACCCCCCACACCCCTCCTGCCCCTCCCCCGCGCATCCACACCCCGGAACCACTCTAACAGGGCCAAAAAGCAAACTACCTCGCCGAGCTTCGAGATAACCGCATCGCTCGCCCTGGAGGTGCCCGCCCTGGTCCTGCTCCATCCAACAACCGCATGAGCCTCGACCAAACCAATTTCAAGACATACTCCCCAGCCCCGGCCGCCCCCAGCCCAGTCAACGAAGCCCCAGCCCCTGGACGCGCCGAAAGCATAATCTCCCACCGCCGCGCCCGCTCTTCCATGTCTACATCCTCACGCACCGGCCGCGCCCTCGTCCAGCCCCCCGCACCAGCGGGACCACCTCTTAGCGCCAACGTTGTCGTTCCCAGCGCGACATATATGGTGCGCGGCCAGCGCTGGATGGAGCGCGAGGAGATGACGTCTCTCCGCGATGCGCTCGAAGATATGGATACCAACGAGGAACTCGAGGCCGAAATCAAACTACATGCAGCCGCGCAACAGGAAGCCTCGGACCTAGTATGGAAACACCAGAACCCCCAGCCTACCCCTGAACCGGACGCACCCTACAGGTACCGCGATCACATGCGCAAGAACAGCTACCAGCATGCGCGCGCGCAGAGCGTCGGACCGTATACTGGCCCTGATGCGGTTCCGGTCCTTGGATTCCCGACGAGATCTTTCTCGAACAGTTCGAACGTTAGCACGCAACGCGACCGCGTTTCCAGCGGCTCCTCCACAGGTTCGGACGCCCACCCGGCCCAGCGACCCGGCCAACGTGTTTCCTTTGACGAGCCTCGCGGTCGCGACCCCGTATCACGCAAGGGCGCCAAATCCTACGGCTCACTCGCACATACCATTGGACACGCCCCATCACGCCGCCGGAGCAGCGGGAAACGCAATATCAGCGGCGAATTCCGGTCCTCCTTCACTACGGACCAAATCTGGGAGGAGCCAGGCGCGAGTGATGACGAGGCAGCCAAGGCGGCTGCGATGAAGGGGTCGGCGGATGCGCCGGCGCCGCTGAGGGTTAAGCCTAGGAATCCGCTGAATAGAGTGCAGTTCGAGGCTGATCCCGCGGCGCCGCGCGCGGCGAGCACGCCACCCCTGGAGCTCAAGCCCAGAGAGCGGTTCGAGATCTACAAGAACCCTCCCTCGCAGAGCCGAAATGCTGGGTACACCGCCAACCCCGCGCCCGCCACCGCACCGGCAGATACCACCCCAGCGGACGCCCTCCAACCCCCCGCCGCATCTTCCCCCACCAAAGACGGCCGCGAGATCCGCAGCGACGACATCCGCACCGCGACGACCAAGTCCCTGCGTGACCGCAGCCCGCTGCTCCCCACGCCCAGCGCCGTCTCCGACGCGCCCGGGCGGCCCATCGTAAGCTTTGACCAGACGTGGACGCCGCCTTCGGCGGCGGCGAAGATCAAGACTGAGGCTGATGTGACGCCAGCTGCAGACTATCGACGACCAAGGGTCGAATCGAAATTCGAGGCCACGAGACCCGTCCGCAAAATCGGGGGGCCGAGAGAAGCGGCAGGGAGGGCTTATGGGGGCGATAAGGAAGTTGTCGGGACCGTTGGGCGGGGTCGTGGGGGGGTTGAGGCATTCGTCGAGGTAAAGGGGGGAAGGGTGGAGGAGGAGAGGGGAGAAGTGAGGGGAGGAAATAAGGGTGGAGTAAGGGGAGGAGTTAGGGGTGCGAGAGAGCCATTGGTAAGTACGCAGAGTAGTCCTGATGTTATGGTTCGAGCGGCACCTTCGGCTTCAGTGCCTGCGCCGCCTACGATTTCGGTCGAGGAGGCGCCGACTATCTCGATTAGTTCCGCGCCCTCGATTTCCGTCTCCGAACCACCATCTATTTCCGTTTCTAGCTCACCAGCCATCTCCGTCTCGGCGCCGCCAGCAATTGCAGTTTCTGCACCACCACCGCCATCGATTTCCGTTTCTGCACCACCAGCAATCTCTATCTCAGAGCCGCCAGCAATTTCCGTCTCCCGCCCGCCAGCCATCTCGGTCAATTCAGCACCAACGATTTCCGTCTCCACACCACAAGTTCCCTCTATCGTGGAGCCTTCTACCTCATCTCGCCCTGCTGCCCGCGCCCTTCCCGACCCCAAAGTCCTGGCGCGCAACAAAGACCCCTTCGCGCGTCCTAATCGCATCTCCACAAGCCACTGGTCTCCCGCCCCCGCTCCCGCCGGTGCCCGCGCAACCGCAACCTGCCATTACTGCCGGCACCCAATTGCCGGGCGCGTGATAGCGCTAGCTGGCCATGCCGAGCGCTGGCATCCGGGTTGCTTCTCCTGCCACTGCTGCCGCACGCAGCTCGCTGATTTCGAGATCAAGCCCGAGCCCGAGGCGGAACGTGCCGCTAGGTTGGATCGGATTGCAAGGCGGCAAGGCGGAGAGGTAGTAGAAGGCGACGATGAAGGTGGCGCAAGGGCACAGGATGATGGCGATGAGAGGTTAAGGTTCTACTGCCATCTCGACTGGCACGAGCTATTTGCACCAAGGTGCCGCCACTGCAAGACCCCTATCGTTGGATCGCATGTCGTAGCGATGGGCGCACACTTCCACACCGAACACTTCTTCTGCGCGGAGTGCGGAGATCCTTTCCCACCTGGCAGTGCGCATGTGGAGTTAGAAGGGTATGCATGGTGCACAGAGTGCGTGGCTGTGCGAACGGAGCGGCGCGCGCCGAAATGCGGGTTGTGCAAGAAACCGGTTGTGGGACGCGTGGTGGGTGCGTTGGGGAGGGAGTTCCATGAGGATTGCTTTCGGTGTGGGGAGTGTGGGGGGGGGTTTGGGGATGGGGAGATCTTTTTGAGGGGGGATGTGGGGGTGGCGTGTCGGGGGTGTATGGAGAGGGGGTTGAAAGCTTGAGAGGCGGAGGGTAATCACTCTTTATATGTCTCGTTTGTGGTAATACGTCGGTCTTTATGATATTTTCTTTGGTTCGCATGGGTGGGAGCGTGGCGCGTTTTGCGTCTGGACACAGTCATTTTATTTGGATGGGGGAAAAGCATAGGGGTTGGAGCGATGATTGTGGGGGTGGCGAGCGAGACTGTTGTTATGGTCTCGGATAGAGCTTAATTGAGGAGATGATGAAATAAGATGATGTTGATGATTTAGATGCTCAATATTACGTGTGTGATGTTAACTCCCCAGTCAAGGAATCTCCTCATAAACCACATCCTCCGCCCCCAGAGGCACCAGGAAATCCGGTGGCACTTCCTCGGGCAATTGCCTCTTCTCCGCCCACTTCCTCACGGCGTCATAATTTCGACACTTATGCTCGGTATTGAAATCAACAAACGCACTCGGATCCTCGCGAAATGTCCATACTTGTCCCAGCACGCCCACATCAACCGCACACATGAGCTGCTGGCGCAGGATGTCGAGGCAGTGCGTAACGTGAAAGCGGACGACGTGGTCAGCATTAGAGAAGGCACCCTGCCCAAGGGCGTGGTAGTAGTCGTAATTGTAGTAGAGAGCCTGGCGTAGTAGGTTCAGGCAGTGTAGATGGTGTAGGCCTTCGACGTTGGCGGGATAGCCGCCACCGTACTGGGGGGAGATATGGACGTGGGTTTTGGGAGTAAGGCCGGAGCGAGGACCGTCGGAGGGGGAGACGACAAATGCGCGGTCTGGAGGAGTCAGTGAAGTTTTGGAGAGGGGTATGAGAGAAAAGGGAGACGGATTGGGAGGGACATACAATCGGTTCCTAGGGAGCCCCAGGCTGCATCTACTTCTGGCCCGGCTGGTTGGCGGAAGGCATTAAGCTTCATGAAGGAGCCATTGAAGCGTTGGAGGTTGTAATGGAGACCAATCCTTTCTTTTACTAAAGGTGCTAAAGATTGATTAGCTCGAGGTATGGGTGGACAGGACTTTCATTATGACATACAGTAATGAGAGACATGGCCTCCGCAGAAGCTATCGGCGTCGAAAAGTCTATGGCTGCCAATCCAGATGCCGGCCAGGAATATGATGACAGAGTAGAGAAGGAATAAGGAACTGATGCCGTAATGCCAGAGGGGTCGTTTTGGTTTCTTCGTGTAATCATCAGTGCTTGACTGTGAGAGGAGGGTCTCACAGTCGTCATTCTGGGGGATTTTGTTGAAACGAGCTTCCTGATTAGGAGTATGATCAAACATCTTCTTTAAACCGTTGGAATTCTTGAGTATGAAGATGCTTAATGGCATTTTGAATTATAGAGGCGTGTGGATCTCAGAGACTACAGAGACAAGCTCGCAATTTCAAGAGCCGAAAGGATCTTTTCCCGTCGTCAAGCTCGGATGATTGACTGGCATGTACTAAACATGGTAGATAAAGATGGTCATAAGAGTCGAGAGCAACGTCGCAGTGAGGATCCTGCAATAAGTTTATACATGTCGCCTTGAAATGCAGTGACGATATACCGCATGTGACTGCATATCTTAGGAATGGTCTATACAAATCATGAAAAAGAATGGAGCACAAGAGCTGTATTTGTGTATATTCCTGTGTCTCAACTGCTGTATACTCATAATCACATTGCAGTGTACGAAGTTTGTCCCTCTGCATTCTTGTATGTTTATTTGTAAATAGATATAAATACTTATGCCGCCGAAAAGTTCAAATATGGAACGGGTACAGCGGCCAATGTTTGCAGCAACTACTGTTAAAACGAGGCCTGTCAAATTATCTAAGAGTATTTTTTTTAATACCTACTAATAAATTGCACCCAAGAGTGATAGTCTATCGGTTTGGCAATTTTCGGTTGCGTACAGTCTCCCTTCAGGTTTTCGGGCGACACGAGGGCCATAAGGACCGATATTGCATGATGGGCCAAATGACTGGCACTATAATGGCGCAGTTTCATTGTAAGACTACTCCCGCAGATACGAAAGATTTATAGCTCGCCTTGCATTCAACCTCCTACCATTTATGTTTCACAACAGGAGAAACTCTTCGATGAAAATTTTCCACATCTACTGTCAGGTCATGTGTGACAAATATACATGTGCATATTTGCACACTGTACGACATGCCCTATGACGTTGGAACAGGGTAAGTGAAGCTCCCCTATAACTCTACTGAGCTTTGGCTCTCGTATTGTTGTCGCTATCAATTTTCTCGGGTCTCACGTAAGGAATGGCTGACAATGCCGATATGATCTCGTGGATGATAAGTATGATAAGGAGGGTGAACGGCTCCATACATATGCAGGCATCCCTTCGGCAGCTTCATTCACCGACGTAGTGGCCTCGGATAGACGTAGGATGCCTCATTCTCGTGTTGGCTGCGGCTTTCCTGAGCCAGTCGTCATGTTGCATCACAGGCAATAGCCCAGCTATCACGATGGTCTCACCCATACATGACATAATGGAAGGAAGAAAGCCCGGTGTTGCAAAATTAGAAGCCATCTGTCGAGCTCATCTGGTGACAGTCTTGGTGTTCACCGAGGTACTTACTTTCATACACCCTCTGAGGCTAGAATTATTGCTTATATCTATCTGGTTGAGCCCACCTCTTTATACTCAAAGAATCTGTAGTATTTGCCTCCAAACCATCCGCCGAGAATTAGTCCCAAATATTTTTATCATGAAGTTCCATATAAATGTGGTTGCCCTGGTGGCATTGATCTCCTCATGGGTCGTCGTCGCGTTTCCCACTGAAGCTAGGAACGAGGATATTGCTATTGCGGATTCTGCAACCCCAGAAACAACACAGGAGACTCCTGTCCAGACTGACAACGCTGACGAGGACGAGGATGAGGATGAGGACGAAATAGCCGCTGTTTCTAGTTACAAGTACTACGGAAAATACGCCAACTATGGCACATACCACTATAACAAATATGCAACCTACCGCAGGTATAGGCGTGACGCGACGCCGGAACCGGAAACTTCACAGGGGACTCCTGTCGAGGCTGACAACGCCGACGAGGACGAGGATGAGGACGAAATAGCCGCTGTTTCTAGTTACAAGGACTACGGAAAATACGCCAACTATGGCAAATATCCTCCCCCGGGATATGACCAGTACGGAACATACGTAAAATACCCGTCGAAGCGCAGTAGTTTTAGATCTACAAAGTACGGTTCATACGATGACTACGACCCACCCAACAATGGTAAATATACGGATTATCACTCCTATAAACCTGACGGCCTTCCAGAACAGGGCAATGATGGCGGCAAGAGCAATAAGTATGGCTCGTATAATGGCTACGCACGGCCGAATTATGGCAATTACACACACTATCCAAATTCCAGACGCGACAAAGTGGCAGACACAACTATTGACTTTGCCAAATACACCAAGTATGGTAAGCCGCCCGGAGGCTACGATAAATACCCTGGCTATGTCAACTATGAGCGTTATAAAGAGAGTGTTGCCAACACCGCTGATGACACTCCTCCAACACGGTGGAATTATAGACGAGATCTTGCTCCTCAGGGAGAGAGTTCTGCCGATGCTGCTGGTACCGTTGTTTCAGGAGTGTTGTCTTATGGAACTATTGGTCCGTTCGGAGTAAAAAGGCGTGAGATGGCCCCGGAGAGTGACACACAGGATAGAAAATATGCAAAATATGGTTTGTCTGCTCCGCAAATGCGATCGGATAATAGCTAATTCGCACTGATAGGGGGCAAAATATTGCCATAAATCTCAGTAAAGAGTAAAGAGCCTTGGCCGGGATGTCTGTAAGAAGACGATGGTGCTTTTTGAGACATATCGCAGGGCATTTGGGGCAGATCGCAGGCTTGGTTTCTTAAAAGCCGGTAGTCCACGGCTTTTAATTTTAAAATTCTCCGAATCAATGGTACCTTTTCTACGCATATGCATAGACTCATCGTGTTATAAGAAATTGAATACCTACTTTAAAAATTAGGAAATAGCTCGTTGGACCTAGATCGTGAGACCTGGCTGATGGATAATTATTAATGACTAAATAATAGAAAAAAAGTGATAAATATAGATAACAGCAACACGTAACAAAAATGCCACCGAAAGCACCATTATTCGATACATGAGAGAAATAAAAATCCGGTGACTCTTAAAGCATGTTTGTAAATTCTCCACGAAAATAATGTATTAATAGTAGGTCGTGTGCTGTCGAAATGTTTGAAGCTCACTGCACGTCCACTGGTCTTGGCGCAGTTGAGAGGATTTCTGGCGAGACCAGATTGGTTGCCATGGTAGCCAACATAACGTTGGGTAACAGCTGGGACGAAGCCCATGATTGCCAGACTCAAGAACTTCTACTACAAAACTCCGACCCTAAGGATTTTACACCTGAAATATAATTAAGGCTATTTTACTCTGATTGCTTTGCGTTACTATCGCGAAGTTCCAAGCTACCAGATTCCATATCTACCCCGCCACTTGTGTAAACAAACCGGACATACTGATCAGGGAGCAGCGTTGTACCCACACAGCTACAAGTCAAGCCGACCGAGATCCCTACGAACTTAAATCAAATACAATTTGACAAAAATATCGAAACAAACACACATCAACTCCATAGGCGGCGCCGTCATGCGTTTGCGAACGCTAGTACCCGCACTCTCGGCACTCCTCCTCGCCCCTCCCTCAACGACCGCCTCTCATCTCCGTGCCTCCCCCTTCTCCGCCGCATACCTATCCACCAGCACTTTCGACTCCCTCATAAAGCGCCAAAGCTGTCCCGCAGACTACAACTCCTGCGCCAGCCTCTCCGCCCCCAATTCTGCCTCGAACTGCTGCGCCGCCTCATCCCTCTGCGCCCTCGACAATGCTGGCAACATAGCCTGCTGCCCCCTCGGCTCCTACTGCACCGGCATAATCTCCATCGCGCCCTCTCCAACCACATCACATACAGGGCCTATAACCTCCGCCCCGACAGAAACGCAAACCGCCGCCCCAGCAACGGGCTACGTCCCAAACACATTCTATCCGTTTCCGATCATCTTCGCCTCCGGAACAAACTTTGGTGATAAGGCGCAATGCGAGGCGGCTTATGAGTCGTGTGCGGGATACTATCAGCAGTGCACGCAGCGGCTTGAGGGTGGGGGCGGAGGATTTGGTGTCACAGTTGCGGGACCAGGAGGTGGGATAACGGTTGCGGGAGGGGCAGGCGTGAGTGTGGGGATTGAGAGTGCGACAAAGATCTGTTCATCGCTGAGTGGGGAGGCGTGTCCGGGGACTGCGGCAACGTGTACGGCTGCTGGGGATGGCACGGATAATGGGGCGGGGGTGGCTACGACAACGCCCAGCCAAACGGGGTTTGTTGTTGGTGATCCGGGGGCTGGTGCGGCTCCTGGAATAGAAGTTGGGAGGTGGGGGTTGGGGATGGTGGTTATCGTGGGGTTGGTTACTGGTTGGGGGATCTGATTAAGGATACTTTTGGTTGTTGAGGGCGATTGTTATACGCAGAAACGAAACGGATGATTTGAGCGCGGGATATACGACGATGTGGACATGTATCATGATCGAATTTTTGCAGCTACGGCGTTCCGAGTTTCATTAGCGGGTTGGATTTACAGCGCTGTTTGTCTGGAACAGAAGACCAGACGGGCTGGGCCTGAAGCATCAGAATTATGTGTCTATTGGAAGGACCTACATGAGCGAGGAAATGGGTATGTACTGGATCGATGTTATCATCTCCACGGAATATCATAAAGCGATCTTGGCTTAATTGATATAAGTATGGTTTGTAAACTATGTCTTGGCATTCAATCACTTGGAGATGCAGAACCTGTGTGAGAGCGAACGTCGAATTGCGTATATAGAAAACCTTCTGTTCTGTAATGATATTTAATGTAACGACAGAGCGTCTTTCAGGCTATTTTGCTTCTGCTCCTGTCTTGTTACAACCCCCAATCTCTCTTCCTTTCTCCTGGCAGAACACTTCGCTACAGCCACCATAGCTCCTGAGAGAATTCCTTAACCATATGACAACACTTAACAGCACTTCTAGATATTTATTAACGTAGATGTGTTGATGGAAATTTGACGTCAAATTGTAATTTTTAAGCCGAGTGCCAATGAGGGGCAATTTCGCTTGAGTACAAAAATTCGTTCCCTATAATGATATGAGAGAGACGGGAGAGTGATGAGAGAGATATGAGAGAGACAAGAGAAAGACAAGGGAGAAATGAGAGTTGAGATGGCGAGAGAGAGAAGTGCCGAGCAAATCATGTTTAAACATCTAAAGAACACGGCATTACCCGAAGGGTACGTATGAGTTGTGATAGCATAAAACATGAAACATAACCGACTATGCGTAAACATCTAAAGAAAACGGCATTACCCGAAGGGCATTATAACCCCACATCTACTAATCTTTTCTAGAATTGGGGAGCAAGTATTACGCAGCTTCATGTGACTTAATTCTGTAACCAACAAGAGAGCCACGTCACCTAAACCTTCTCAATAATGAGAAACAACACATGCAGTCGAGTTTTCGTGACTATATTCCTGCCTCTCGTTGAGAAAGTAGAAAAAGCTTCGCCTTAATGCTTACGTCTTTAGAAACGACGACGGGGTCTACAATATCCACGCCTAGCAAGGAGTCAAAAGCTTCCCTTCTTAGCTAATTTAGCATGACCTTGAGAAGTATTAAAGCAAAGGAAATCTCTCCTCAAATGCTTTCTTTTCACCCTCGTTATCTAACATCATCTTCACAGTTATTCACTTAGCTTCAAACGTTACTTTACATTCCTCCTTCCTAAATTATTTCCAAGAACCCACTACCACAACCACCTTCAAAATGCATTGTTCATTCTCTACCACTGTCATTGCTGCTTTCAGCATGCTCTCTGTTGTCTGCGCTGGTCCTATTGCTTCTCGCAAAGTTTGCGGTGCTGCTCCTGTTGGAACAGTGGCTCAGACCCCTCTCTTGCAGCCAACTGGAATCAGTGAGCCCTATTCTTTCTCAATCCCTTGACACTTCTAACATTAACAGCCACTGCATCCGCCTGCGCTACTCAGTGCAAAGGCAACACAGCATGTCTCTCATTCCTCTTCGGACTTGTCGATGGCGTAGACAAATGCATACTCTACTCCGTTCCAGCATCCTCGCTCCCTCCTCAAACCAACCTCGTTGCCTATGATATCGCCTGTACCTCCATTCCTTCTGTTGTCCCAACAGCTGCCAACCCAGGCGGACTTCGCACCCGACAAACTCAAGGGACCCATGCCAACCCCTTGAATGCAGCCCCAGCAGGCGCACCAGCACCCATTGACACTCCTAAGGTCAACAATTTGGCCGCCTGCCTTGCATCCTGCAAGGGCAACCCATCCTGCATCGCCTATACCTTCAAGTCTGGTGTCTGTAAGCTTTTCGGCCCCACAAAGGCCAAGCGTGCCGAGGGCGTTGCAACTGGTGCTGGAAAGGCAGGTGCTGGAAAAGCAGCTCAGGATCATGCTTCTAGCTCAGATGGCGCTGTCCTACAAACACCAGTTGCGACCCACGAGGCTCCGCTTAACGCTATCCCAGCAGGCGCACCAGCACCCATTGACACTCCTAAGGTCAACGATTTGGCCGCCTGCCTTGCATCCTGCAAGGGCAACCCATCCTGCATCGCCTATACCTTCGAGTCTGGTGCCTGCAAGCTCTTTAACTAGGCCATCTATTAGAGCTTCTTTGAACCAAGTGAGGCTTGGGTAGTCAAGGTTATGTTGTGGGCAGATGTGTTTGCATGTTGATTTAAATTTTGGCGTTTCTTTTCTCTTCTGTTTGCAAAATGTCTGTCCCTACAATCTCTGTATCATTCATAGAAAATCTCCGACATTGGTCGGGGGATCAATAAAAGCTGTACTATTTTGATCGTCTCTTGTCTTTAGAACTCTCAGACCTCTATGCATCTGTGGGCTGCTAGTCCTGATATACTCTCGTCTAATATGAGCAACGTATAGAAACACCAAAAACAGAACGAATGTATAAGCATATACCAACAAGGTATATAAGCGTAGGGAATTATATAGTGCGGATGTTGCTTTTATTATCTATTAGAAGGTAGAGTACTGGCGAGTATAATGGGGGATGAAGGCGTAAATGAGCCAAGAGAGGATAAAAGCGCGCGCGAGGGAAAAGGGATTTACAGAATTACCTCAATCGGTTCCTGCCTTATAAAGGCTCCCACGGAGATATACCTCACCTCTCACCATCGTACCTCTCACCGTCGTACCTCTCACCGTCGTACCTCTCACTGCCGTCCCCATGTGACTCTCCCTCCTCCCCCTCTCCATCCACACCCTCCATCACAGTAAGTTAGCGGCACAGCAACAATCCGGATCAACAACAACACCCCTACGTTACCAAATGCCGCCGCGCCAAGGAACAGCCACACCACAATGCTGCAGCCTCCTCCTCCACTGTCACCCATGGAGCCCACCCACCCATGTACTGTACAGTACCATGCAGGCTGATACATAACCGCGCCAGGGATGGCCATCTAGCACTGGTTCTTGGACGGGGTGGGATGTTTCGATCTTTCCGTGTACCCCTAATGAAAGGGAGCTTCGTGTTTAGGCTGTGTTTCTGGTGTTTCTGGTGTTTCTGGTGTTTCTGATGGTGATGGGTGGTGATGGGTGGTGATGGGTGGGGACAGGTTGGGGTGTTGTAGGTGTTTCTTGATGTGTTTCTTTTGTGGCGGGGATGAAGGATCTGTGGGTACGGTACGGACTAGGTGGGATGGGGATGGGGATGGGACTGACTGACTAACAGCACCCACAGCTGTTAGTAGTGTGTTTGTATGGTAGGTATGGCAGGTACGGGAGGGACAGAGTGTAGGACTGCAAACAGTAACAACCCCACACGTCTGCCTGCATCGTATAAGTAACCCTAAAATAATTCCCACACATCAAATGATTTCTTTTTAAATCTACCTTCGAGAGCTGTTCATACAGGATATGATATATCACTAGTCTCACGATCGTGAATACTCATCCAATTCGGGCGTCGCATGCTCAGTTCCCTAACCCACTCCGACTTCTCTTCAATCCTTAAGCATTCTGGCTGTATGAGGTCCACCACCAGATCCTTATCCTCTAGATCAGGCATTTGCTCCCAGCGGTTCATGGCCTTCAAGATATCCCCACGGTTCCGCATCAACCAAGGATGCACGGTCGTGACATATTCATGAACGGTGACAAAGCCTGGTCCAGACGGAGATGCCGTTACTAGCACGCCGCCCTCCTTGCCTCTTGGTCGGTCGGTGCCGCAGCATTTCAGTAAATGCGGTGGATCTCTATCATTCTCAGGATCATAGTCGGGCAAAGTGCCATACTTGAGAATGTCGCTCTCCGTGTATGAGTCAGGATCGGAATGGTTTTCGTGAAATTCTAACCAGTCCGACTCCCAAATGTTCAAGTCATTGACATTTACTATGATTTCTGACACGGGCGGGTGTGTCGCTGGCGACTTCGAGACGACGTGCCATGGTGTATTTGAACCTCCGCCGACCGATTGCTGGAAATACGGTTCCAGGACGTCAATGTTGTAGGCAGCGGCCATGACGGAAAGAGATGTCTCTAGGGAACCACTATCAAAAGACCAAACGATGCGGACGGCAGCGAGAGTAGGATAAGGCTTGATACTGCGGCTGCGGAGTTCTGAAAATGTTGGATACGTCTCCCGTTCTAGTTGAGAGTCCGAGTCCGAGTCCGCGTCAGATTCAAATTCAGCTTGTCGGTGGAGAATGAGTCGAGGCCTTGGCGCATTGCCAGTGCCGGGAGTGGCGTCAGATGTTAACATTATAGGTAATTATCTGAACTTTGAAAGGAGATGATTACGGACGCAGTGGGGAGATGACAGCTTTTATGAAACTTAGTCAGCTAACTTCCCTGTATTTACCCGCCAAGTCGTTAGCCCGTGCAGGCATCTCAATTGCGTGAAGGTCAAGACCCTGTGGGGCCAAATAAGTCGCAGAGTAGTGATCTGCTTGACCTTATGGCGTTGTATTTTTGGCATGTTAATTGTGCCTATCGTTTCCTCCTCCGAGCGTGCACACGAGTTGCGGTTGGTGGGCCCACGATGCGCCGTGTTGTGACACGCAGATGTGAGAATACTTACAATTCAGCCATCTTTTTGATTAATTCTTAAAATTGAGGGTGGTTTCTACTTTATTTGTCTTATTATCCAGAGCACAAAACGGGGCGTGCCATTCTAAGCCGGGTAAAAATGTATAGCTATGTGATATGTTATTGTCAAAATAAAGAAAGGGAGGGTGCAATTTTCTCATTTCCATCTCCGCAGTCCAAACCTATAAGAAGAAGAGGAAGCCACCTCTCTTAATAGCCCACAAGTTCTTCTCCCAATCTTTATCAAGTTTTCAGTCGAAATAGCAACTATGAAAGCCAACTTCCTATTCTGCTGCTCCCTCTTGGGAGCAGCCCTTGCGGTAACATGCCCTGGCGATACTGGAGTCAACGGCTATGCTAGTGTCGAAGGTGGAACAACTGGCGGAGGAACTGTCACGGCTATAACCGTTACCACCTTGGCCGACTTAAAGGCTAATGCCGGAGCCTCTGGCAGTCGTGTTATCATCGTCAAAGGCACAATCGATACTGGCTCCGCTATCAATGTTGCGAGTGACAAGACCATCAGAGGCTACGACACTTGCGCCACTATTATCGGAGGGTTCTCCATGAACGGAGTCTCAAACATTATCTTCCAGAACCTCAACATCAAGGGCGGGGATGCTGTCGATACGATCGCAAGCAGAAATTCACACCATGTCTGGTATGATCATCTGAGCCTCTCGGATGCTTCTGATGGCCTTCTCGATGTCACTAAAGCATCTGATTACCAGACTGTATCCTGGTGCAAATTCTTTTATACCGATACTACAAACGACCACAGGCTTGCGAGTCTCGTCAGCGCAGGAGGCGGCACTCAACCCGACGACGAGGGCAAGTTGCATTTGACTTACCACCACAACTGGTGGTCGTCAAATGTTGATCAGCGCAGGCCACGGGTCATGTACGGCGATGCTCATATCTACAATAACCAGTACCGCGCGGGAGGTAATTCCTGCTGTATTGGCTTTGGGTCCTACGCGTCGGTCCTTATCGAGAATAACTACTTCCAAGAAGTTAAAAGCCCCCACGAGTTCATGTAAGATGTGTACGCATGGGCCGATGCCACGGGAAATCTCTACGATGACACAACCGGTAGCAAGGACAATGTCTACTTTGGAAGCACAAATGCCGAGGGACAGGAGGACTTCACCGCAGGCCCCTTTACGCCACCATACTCCTACAAGCTAGATGATGCTTCTGCCACTTGTCCAGGGTTGCGCGGGGCCTCGCTAGATAATGATATCTGTGTTAGGGTAGGAAAGTAGCAGCAGTTCAATGTGTTTGATGTCATATGACCAACTTTTGATACTGTTACCTGGTGACTGTACTATCATGAGCATCTAAAATGCGGAAGTTCAACTGAACAGATCGAGGAAAATGTAATATAGTACAAGTGGAGCATAATAATCGGGAGATAAGCCATATATGAGAATTCCATAAACTCCAAACCGGAATCATGTATATACAGTACAAGGTATGCTCAGAAGCAGCCACTCAATCCCCCCAATCCGCTATCTCACATCGCCGCAATGATCCACATTGCTGCCTCCATAGATGTGCCAAGACCGAAACCTACTGTCCCTAGATTATTCCTCGACTCAGCACTCCCCAACATTTATTTTGCTCTGGGTGACCAGCATCAACGCGACAATCATCCCGTAAAGACCTAGATACGATATTAGAACTTAATGGCCTCATCTATTGCTGTCTCCGAGAAAGCTTACCGAGTACTTCTGCGAAGATGAGAATGAGGATCATGGCCACGAATAATTTCGGCTGCTGGGCGACACCGCGAACGCCACCATCGCCAATGATGCCGATCGCGAAGCTGAGATATCGTTAGCTGTATTTCACCCATAGCCTTTGCTTCCCATCCCATATTATCAATATCGACCGATGTCTTTGGCTATTGACACACACATATTTTCCGGCCCAGTTTTTCCATCCTCCTTTCTATCATCTCTCAAAACTCGGCCTCACATGTCGCGTTTTTCCAGGAAAGGAATTTATCACATACCCAGCCGCAAGACCACACAACCCAACACTTATCCCAGCTCCCAACTGCAAAAAGGCGCTGTATATAGGTAACCGCTCCTTCAAGTCTCCCGATATAATAACCGCGACCACGAGCCCGTAAATCGAAAGGATACCCGCGAGAATCGGAGGCATGAGGTCTGTAATAGCACGCCATTAGCAATATCCAGAAAGCCGAATGCAAGAGCAACGTACTCCGAACAATCAGATCAGGGCGCAAGATACTGGAGGCCATGATCCCAATGCTGGATTTAGCCATGCCGTAGGAGGCGCCGAAACAGGTGAAGACGATGGCGGCTGCGCAGCCCATGGCGCCGAAGAATGACTGAGGAGAAGGTTAGCATTATGGATGCTTCCGGGGGTTGTGGTTGCGGCATTGAGGTTGGAGAGAGCTCGTACGGCATAGCTGGGACTGGGGAGCTGTTAGCAGGGGCGCCTGGTGCGGATCGAGCATGGTTTGAACCCATGTAATTCAAGTGCGGGGAAGGCTAACCAGCGATCGTGATCGTAATCCATGGTGGGCAGGTCGTCAGCGAAATCAATTTTTCAAAGGATCGAATGTTGACACAGGAAGTGGTAAAGGATGTTAACACAAGATGCAAGAATTATCTGTGGTTGAAATGCATGGTGCCTCGTACAGCCGGATTGGCGCTGAGGCTGGGCCAAGACGGGCAACGACACATACGTATTACCCGCTCCTCAATTAGGCAACCATAAAATGTACCATAATCGCATTTAAAACATAACGTTACGTGGATTTCGCACTCTAGGTGGGTATTTACCCCAAAACATGTCCAACAGAGCAGAAAATCCGACGTAAAATGTAGATTTAAGATTATGAAGTAAGTGTCTATAAGCCATGGTTTACATGAACCCGAACGGAGCGATTTGGTCTCCCCCTGCGCATCGCCAGCCAGACCAACACATCTGATCCACGACGCAACGATAAAGTAGAAACATTGCCATAAAATACATATATTGATACAAGCCTTTATTCATCCCTTTGTTCTCGTATTGAGAATCAGTGCGACGATTAATCTGTGAACTGTTAGCTGTGAGGGGCCCAATAACGCGACATAACATACCCATAGAGCCCTAGAACCTCAGCAAAAATCAACAGCAAAACCAAGGGCACGAATATCCGCGATTGTTTGATATAAGCTCGTATCCCATGTTCTCCAATGACACCAATCCCATATCCAGCAGCCAGCCCCGTCATGCCCACTGAGATCCCAGCCGCCAAGTGCATGTTTCCGCTGCCAGTCTTCAGTATAGCTTCGTTTAGTTTCCCACCGTGCTGAGTTTTCTTACCTGTACAAAGAGTAGTTCTGCTTTGGCGGAGGGCTCATGTCCCCGACTATGAGCAGAGATACCACGAGCGCATAGACGGAGATGATACCCGCCATGACCGTTGGGAGCAGTGACTGGCATGGTATCAGTTGTCGATTTGGGCATTTGAGATGCAGCTGCAAAATGGAGCCATACCTTCATAACCAAGTCTGGGCGCTCAACACCAACTGCCGCAACTGCCGCACCGGACCTGAATGTCCCATATGCAGCTCCCATGCCTATTGATCGTGTGAGCAACTGCTTTCAGCGAAAACGGAGGCCCCTGGCTCAGTAAGCCGGCGATCAAACACTACGCACATCCAAAAATCATGGCAAAGGCAGCCCCGGCCTGAGAGAATGTTAACTCCGGACCCCTCCATCAAGAACCAGAGAACTCACCATTCCAAGAAACGGCGCAAACTTGGGTGCGCGCTCTGACTCGGCCATCTTTACGTCAGTAGTTTCTGGCGCAACCTGCGGGTGGTTGGGGAAGTGAGATAATGAGGGGGTGAAGATTTGCGTTTATATCTTTGGTAACGAGAAAGATGATGCATTCTCTAGGTATTGTAGAGTAGTACTGCCTAGCCGCCAAGGAATATGATTATGGCGAGGCTGAGCAGCCTGACAGAAACTCGTCCTGAGGATGCAGGGTTACACCAGTGGAGGGCTACTCCCGCCTTTAGTGGCACTTCCCCCGCTTTTCCATCTTATTTTCATCTTGTCAACCATTGAACCTGAACGAACTGCTGCAAGTAATAATGCTAAACCTAGTCTAATAGAATGAATAGTTACACACTAACTCGGCTATACGTACTGTAGTAGCCGCGAGGAAACTGGGCGTCAGGTCCGGTCTGGTGTAGATAAGCTTAAGTATCAGCGGATTAATTGTCTCGGTCGTACTCGCAGGTTTAATGTAGAAAGCGGACAGGCCCCTTCCGTGCTCATCACTTTTGGTCGGAGGGAGTTAGGGCTTAAAAAACGCCACATTTGATAGCATATTTATCTATTTATTGTAATAAAATCAAATTTTATTTGCCGTCAGAAGCGCGATACCCTGCCGCCCCTTCAGCTTATCGGCCAATATTGGCTCGGTTGGAGGCATCCGCAGTTGACCCGTCAGCGGCACAGGTACTGCGCACGGCCGCACCCCAAAACACGAGGGTAAGCAGGGTTAGCCACGTGAGGCATCCCAAGCGCGAACCAAAGTGTATTCTGATAGATGCTTGGCTGCATCGGTTACTCCCTCGGCTATGGCTTTGTATCGTCTCATATTCCATTCATCTGGATCAAGCCTGGGGTCAATTCTCCGACCCCGCAGCGCAGACCCCGCCAGTTCCTCAGAATACTCTCTGCTTCGGACGGGAATTGAGAAGAGTTGGTGCTTTCGCGTTGAACAAGATAGCACTTCAAAAATAGAAATGTGGATACCAAGCACATGTTAGAAAGGGCCACGACGCAGACTATGGCGGCAAGACTATTGGGTTCTATTGAAACCAGCCGCGTACAAGAGGGGCAAGTAAGTTCCCTCGCATTGGTCTCGACTCTCGAACGCATTGACCCCGTTAACGCCACAACGTTCCCACGAGGGACCCCTCCTACGTCGCTGATCTTAAACTAAAATCTGTTATAGTTCCCCCAGATTTTCAGCCCTTGGAATTCAATTTAAATGCTACACTTCCGTGGCGAAGCTTTCCGATGTTTCCCTTCACACCTATATCCATTCCGCTATAGTCGCCGCGCAGCCCTGGGTTACAACCACAGTCCCAGATATTGGGGAATGCCATATCGTTGTTCGTGACCGGAAAATTCCGATTTCGCATGTGGAATCTCTGGCGCGGCACAGACAAGTCGGCTATGTCAGGCGGCGTTCCGCAAGGTGCCTTGGGACTCTCTGTTATAGTGCTACTATACTCGTTCCTGTGCCTTTTTTTGGGCCTTTTGCTGTTCATTGTTTGCTGGAGGCACGGCGCAAAATCTACATGTATGTGAAAGAGTCACACGAGGAACTTCTGACCGTTATTAACTGAAACGCAATTAGATGTCTCACTGATTGCTGTTACTGCATCGGTGGCCTGTGTTGCGTCGATCGCACAGCAAATACATTTTGCTACGGATTGGGTAGGAATTAAACAAGCGCAGTATGCGGCGAAGGAAAGAAACCCGACAAATCCGATATTGGTTGTGACAGGCTCCGCCCAGGGTGCGGACTTGGGCTTGTTCTGGATCCAATTCACGTCATACAATATCAACTCTCTTTTGGTCCTATTCTGGTTTGTGACTTTCGTCAGTTTCGTGCGATAGTGACTGACGTTCACCTTGAAGGTCCGGCTCTTTATTCCAGGGAACTTGGAAGCTGAAACCCCTCGTCAAGCTCCAGTCTCGATCTACTCACCTCGAGACTGTAGCAAAGCTATTTGCCATCCTTTTCCCGGCACCGCTACTCGGTATAGCTCACGCGCCGAGTATCTCAAAAAATGCCGCGCCATATTTGATATTATGTAATGCATCGTGTGAGTGGCAAGGATCTCATCCGTCATATCAACAGGGCTGATTTATATTACAGTGGTCATTAGCTTGTTAATAGGTGGTGTTTTGCTTATCCTAACGCTGTATAAATTTGTCACATTAAAGAATAAGTTTTCGTCAATTAGAGGTTCTAGCGGGAATAGCAGGCAAGAGACCCTGCGTTTGAGACGAAGAGATAAGTGGATCATTATCCGCTTCTCTATTGCGTTTTCCATTCTTGGGTGAGAGTTCACTTCATTGTTATTATCCCTCAGCCAATATTAACACATGTATCCAGTGTCTTCGAAATCGCAATAGTTTGTTTCGAAGTCCTCCAATACAACGCCAACCATGCAGCCATACGCGCCACCCCAACCACCGCCGCCGAGCTCCCCGCAATCCTGACTGAGATCGCGCAGTTCGTGCCGGGTGTCACGCCACCCCTAATTGCGTTTTTGATATGGGGCACGACAGATACGTATTGGCAAGAGCTAAAGAGCATGTTCACTTGCTATATCAGCAGGAGGAAGAGTAGCCCGTCAGTGGTATCGCGGAAGGACGCGAGCAGTTTGACCTTTGAGAGGCTGAGCAGTAAGAGCAACCTGAAGGTATTTTCGCCAACTGAGTTGAAGGATATGAGAAACGTAGATAGAAGCAGGGGTGAGCAAAGGTGTTAGACGTTGTGGTAATAGATCTGCCATGGCTGGTTTGCCCTCCTGTTGCAACAACAATCTAGGAGCCAACCTAAATACTTATATGTAACAGCAAAGGAGAATGCGATTACTGTGTTAAGGCATGGCCAGCATGCAATGTTGGTTGCCCTTGATAGTACATATATATACGATATTAAATGGTATTGCTACTTCATGTTCTATGTGACGTCTTATCCGGCCCCTGTTTTCCCTTTCCGAGCTTTCATGCCAATAGTGATAAAAACAACTCCGTTCCAGAACCCCCGTAACGAACCAGTTGCGCCAACAGCAAGCAGAAGCGGATCTGATAAATAACCAGGATTGGTAAATGAAGCAACGCGATTGGTTGTTGGCGCGACCCATATCGCCAATAAAACGATGAATATCATCAAAGGCATTAGAACGTATTGTCTAAATGATAATGTTGATCGACTGGGCGGTGGCCGGCGGTATAGGGTGATGGTCTTGGGAATGTTAGTACATAGTAGAGTGGCCGGGAGAAAGTAGTTACCGATTCCCCATCTTGGGCGTTGGCGTCGTCTGAATCGCCGTCGTTATGGGATATAGTTTCCAGAGGAAAAGAGTCGTTGCTGATTGCTTTGAACGCTTGCTTTCGCTTGAGAATGTTCACGCCGATGAGGCCATATAACACCATAGCAATTAAAATGAGAAACCTGAAAGGTTAGTATAGCTTAAAAAACGACAAGGAGACATACCATATTGGTCCATAGTAAAATATTAGGCGGAAGAGTACCCAATTAGGATTTATCGCACACCAAAGCTATCATCAGATGTTAGTTGTTGGAACACTGAACTCGGAAATATTCACATACGGTTACACTGCCGTACATGGGGCCTTTTTCTTGTGTGTTGACAAAGAGGAAGGCTATCGCAGGAATTGATACAAGTGTAGTGATCACACTGAAGTATTTCCATTCAAGCTTGCGCAAAGCTTCTGCGTCGTATCTATGGAAGACAATAAGGAAGACGTCAAAAGCCATGGCGGTTGTCCACAGTACATCAGCCGGCGGAAACCTATAATTGTTAATGTTGGCGAGTACTGTGTGCCAGATGAACATACATTTGCATCAAGAAGCCTTGGAATTGGCATAAAGCTGAGCCATTTCCCGCTCTTGGGCCGCTGAGGGATATCATCGTAGCAATTGCATCGAATAGGTTGAAGAAAGAATTAATGAGGATGAGACGATGGATTGGGTTCCGATAGTGTTCTGATAAGCAAAAGGTAACGATAATAGTAGTTATACCCAAAAGGGAGAAGCCTGACGCGACGCGCTCGACGACTTGGAGGGTCCATAGCTGATCATCGGTGAGCGGCATGGTGGCCCTTCTTTGGCCCTTCGTTGGCCCGTCGTTGGCTCGGGGAAGAAGTAGGAGAGATTTCACATAATTTACATTGTCCGTATCTACATATCTACAATACTACAGAGGATCCAACAGATTATATGAAAAAGGAGACAAATGTATCGCGCGTGTTTCGTGGCATATGACGTGCTATCACGTTTAAATAATGCCCTATCACCCTCTGCAAGCCGCAAGGGGTAACAGGGATGGATAGGGTCCTACAGCGTGGGGGTTGAAATAAGCTCCTGGGATTATACACCCGAGAGTTTGTTTTCCTTCCTTTCCATCCTTCTCGAGAGATATTATTGGAAGATGTTTGAAAATACTCTTCGAAGGTGAGATGGCAGGGGTTTGTGTCGCATGAGCACCAACAAGTCGGGGCTTCGCTCACACGACCCCCACCCAGCCGAACTCCCCGTAGTGCTCAAACAGAGGCGAGTACCGACGGAGCCGTGGAGATGTTCCAGCAACCGAGTTGGCCTTTGAGACTTTTGGTCTTCTCCTCGTCTGTTGGCGCAGGATCGCCAACCGAGAGTAGGTACGGCGAGCCCATTATAGCAAGCGCAGTTTTCGAAATTGGCGTCAATTGATGCCCATTGACCGAAATAGTAACAATACTCGCAATACTACACAAGGTTAGATTGCGATGGGAGCTCCAACGAGATAAAATGACAGGAAGGCAAGGAGGACAGGAACTGTGGTGTGGCGGCTGGTGCACGGTTTCGCGGCGCGGGCCGTGCATATGTACATACCAAGTGTACATGTAAGGCACCGATGGTCCAGGCCACAACGCGACACAGCAACGACAGGAACACGATCGGCGCCTACGATCTGGTATCTCCCTCATATTTGGGATCCAACACCCAGTTATGCGGCCTTCTCCTTTCTCATCTCTAAAAGATGACGCTCCAAGATGGCCTCAAGGAGGCAATGGCCCATCATAAAAACACGGAAAGCCTCGCCATAAACAATACATTCATCCGCCGAATGGTTACTCTCCTGGCGCTGAAAACCACTGGTAGAATTCTACACGCGATATGGCATATGTGTTCCCATCTCGAAACACAAAATCGTCAAGTCTGGAATTTGGGTTCATCTGACGGAAGCGGTAACTATGAAGTATATTGCGGAGAACACATCGCTACCTGTCCCTAAAGTCTACTCCTCCTTCGTACACAAGGGGCGTGCTTACATTGGATTGTTATGGAGAGAATCCAGGGTGTTGGGTTCCCTGCAGCATCTAAGGAGCTGTCCGAAGAGTCGCTGGAAAACATATTTACACAGCTAAAGGACATGCTCGAGGAACTACGGGCGCTCCAACCTCCCCCCGACATAGGAGTGGAGAGTTGCGTTGGGGGATCTCTGTATGATTCACGCATTCTCCGGAAAGTATCGCGCTTTGGCCCTTTCAAGACCATCCAGGAGTTCCATCTTTATCTCAGAGAGTATTGTGACCCCTCTACAATCCAGAACGTGGAAATTGCCCAGGATCTGGAAGATGTCAAAGATATGGCCGCAAAGCAGGACGGACCCTGGCCGCCACCAGTTTTCACGCACGGCGATTTGAACCCATATAATATACTTGTGCGCGAGGGACAAGTTGTTGGTCTTATCGACTGGGAGTTTTCAGGATGGTATCCTCATTACTGGGAATATACATCTGCTTGGTGTGGCAATATCTTGAGAACAGGCTGGCGAGACCAACTCCACAAGTTTTTGGATCCGTTCCCTGAGGAGGTAAAGATGGAGACTACACGACAGAGGTGGTGGGGTGAGATCTGATAATTTAGACAGGAAGATCATATGTAGTAAAAAATCACTAGTCCATGGTACAGTCTCTAGGTTTTTAAGCATGTTCCAAGCTGACCTGGGCCCCATCAGGTCAGTCGCATTGGTATACCGACCCGCAGACTTCTTTTTAGCCACATACTCTCTCCCAGTCTGCTCAATCGCGCGCCAATCCAGTTGAGAAGTCCCGACAATTCCGCCGTCACTGATTATACGAGCTAAAACCTGCTCGACCCACGTCCGACATCTCCAATTCGGGTCGTTCTGGACGAAGGGAGTTGTTCTGAACACTTCTTTCAAGCGCTCGTCATCCTCGATCTTGGCAATTAAAAGTCGTGCGAGTAGTGTAGTCGTGTTTTGAACATCTCTTAAACTCAGTTCCTCATAATTCCAGCCCGTGACTATGCTGTTCTTGACGTGGTAGCGCGTGCCCGGAACCTCCTTCGATTTCTCTGCTTTGGGCCCAACAAGAAATCCCCAACGATATCTACATACATGATTAACTTGTGTATAAGTGGCAATATAGTTAATTTAGTTACTGTCGCTCTTCCGGGGTGACATCACCCGTAGCACCGCTAGGATAAAGGGCAATGTATAATCTGTTCTTGTTGGATACCATATTCGCTGTGTAGAACTGGAAAACGTAGGAGTATCGGGGCTGGAAATATAATCCTTGGAGCTGTAATTTATATATGCGTGGTATTGAGGTTGGTAATTTTTGATAGTAAGTCGTTGGAAGTGGTACACAGCTTGCTTTTATTACTTTGGATTTCTACATATGAGGTTAGTAACATGAGAATCACCAGGCGTGAGGCGCATGGGTCGTTTCATATCAAAACAATACAATCCATTCATATTCAGGCAGCTGTCTGTTGGTTTTTCTGTGGCTGGTTAGCCTGCATATATCAGAAAGCCTTCTGTTGGATTTATTGTGAGTATCATTGTTGTTTGGGCAGCCCATCTGCGACCAGGAACCACAGCACGGCGCTTCGCCTCCCTGACCGGTGGATTAACCACACCACGCGCTCAATATATAAATATCATATCACTAATTAATCAACTACTAACTGGATGCATCCGTTCCATCGTAGTTTTCCCATACCTGCACACTCAGCATCTCCACTAATGCTAGCCCGACAACCAACAACGAACAGCCCGCACGCCGACAAGACTTTCACTGAACACTTATCAGCGAACTTCTCGTCTTAGTCTATCCTGACCGTGCAGAATATACTCATTTTGGTTGAGACTACGCAGTCCCACAGCGTGGACCTACTGAGCTTAGATACTTATATACTTATTTACTTACACATATATGCCCGCATACACACTCGACCCCTAACGCCCAGACTCTAGCCCTTAGCCCCCATTCCCTACTCTGCCTTCCTCCTCCGCATCCTCGCCTTAATCTCCCCCTTCGGCCCCATAACCCCAAACCCAAACTGCTTCTTATTCGGCTCCAGCACTCGTCCCGGCTCCAGCTGGAGCTCGATCTCAAACTTAGACAGGAACAGTGCCATCCCCGCCATTGCCTCCTGCTTCGCATAAAACCGGCCTGGACAAATGTTCTCCCCGCCACCATACGGGATAAACTGGCCCGCCACCTTCTCCGGCGCGAACTTTGGCGGCACCGCCTCGCCGCCCTCCGCCTTCTCCGCCTCCTCGCCGCCCTTCAACTTCGCGGGATCAATGAGTCTAGGGCCGCTAAGAGGATGATCCTTGTACACCAAGAAGCGCTCCGCCCAAAATTCCTCCACATCATGCTTCTCCCCATCCCTACCATGCTGATTCCACGTCTCCCGATTCCGCGCCTCTTGCCAGCTCGACGCGATGATCAGGTCGCCCTTCGGAAACTTCCATGGTCCAATCTTGAAGGTGTCGACAATGGGCGTGCGCTGGATGAAGATGGCGTTGCGCAGGCGCAGCTCCTCCGCATAGATGGATTGGAGGAGTGGGCTTGCCAGGAGGGCTTGCATGTCAATACCCCCGCCGGGGGAGAGTGCTGCGATCTCGGCACGCGCCGTAGCTGCCAGGGCAGGGCGCGTGAGGATGTCGATGAGGCACCAGCCAACTGTAGGGACAATGTTTGCGTTTGCGCTGGCTGAAGTTAGTAAAGTGCAGATACGACGTATGGGATGGGGTGAGTAGCCAGAGTATAGACTAAGTAAGAGGAGTGGTAAAAAATGCACTTACGCCCAAAGTAGTCCTATGTCAAATGTCGGGCGCACGTCGTCTGTCATGCCCTTCACGCCTGTATAATCCACAGCGCGGTCTCGCATCATCTTCGACCCGTAGAACTCCTCCCACACCACGCCCTCCAGCTTTGGGTCGTTGAAGTCTAGGTTCGCACGCGCGTGTGCCTGCCACTTCTTGATGGAGGCGAGCAGGCGATCACGCACAGCGTAGGCTTTGGGCGCGAAGAGACGCGGCACTAGCTTGAAGAGCGTCGGGATGTGGTGGTCGTATTCCCAGAAGTCCTTGTTAATGTCGGGATTCAGTCCGATCAGGTGAGGACCGTAGATGGCGTTGGTGCTGGCGGCGAACATGGTCGACTGGATGAGGCCGTAGAAGTCAGGCACGTCAACCCAGTCTGTCTCTGATTCAGGGATAGCGCGGTCAAGCTCCTCGCCCATGTATTGGACAAAGCGCTCAGCGATCTCAACAAGGGGTGGGCCAACAAGGTTCGTGTGCACAGTCTTGTGCTGCAGGTACCAGATACGATCGCTCATATTGAGGGGGCGTGAACCAGGCAGCGGCTCCTTGCGGCTTCCCGTGTCGTCGAGGGCGTAGCTCTCGCGGCCGGCGCCGGCGCCACCGAAGGCGTTGTCAACGGTGATGATGATGATTTCGGTCGAGTCGAGGTAGCGCGAGCCGCGGAACATGGCGAGCACATTCGCGGTGCCGGAGATCAAGGTAAGTTTCCTATTGGCGAGGCGGAAGCGCACAGGGACGTCGCGGGCGTGTCTGCTGCTGTGGCGGGGTGTTAGTGAGAGTTATGGAAAGGGGGCACGTGACATCGTCGGACGAACAGGGCATTGCGGACGGCTCTTTCGTTGTCGTAGAGAAAGGAGATCAGATTTCCCACAAATGGTACGGCGTAGGGGGCGATGGGAGCAGATCTAGAATCACTTTTATTGTTTGCGGCGAGGAAGGCGCGTAGGGAGGTGATGAGATATGTGAGGGCGAAGGGAAGCAGGGACGCGACGACGATGGTGAGTCGCCAGTCGCGTTGGGCGAGGGAGTAACCCTCCGCCACAAGATCATCAAACATTGCCATGGAGTAAGAGACAACCTTCAACTCATTGAGGTGAATTAGTCAAGAATTTGCGAAAGCGCGGTAGTTTTGACTTTATGGTTAAAATAGAGTAGGAAGCTGACGAGCTGTCTAGATAGGCTTAGCGTGGGCTATTCCGAATACGAAAATGGTTATCCTTCCTCACCATCGCCAATTAGCGGGCCGTCATCCTCTCTGACGCCCTCTCCCCAACCATCTTTTTAAAATCACCCTTCTATTATTTGCCATTATATTGGGAAATGATACTAATGCTAAACCCCATATATATGATCTAACGCCCGAATACAAACCCCCTGGGGAAGTGTATATTGGAGAAATATGCCTGTGGTCGGAGATCGGACGGATAAATATTCTGCCGAACAGCCTCAAATGGAAGATCTGACAGCCAGAACAGTGGCTTTCCTGCAACAGATATCAGCGAACACAAAACAGCAGTTTCTATGTCATCCCTGCCCATTGAAGCCCTTGATCTTAAATATTCGGTGCTAGATCTCGAAAGCACATTGAGCTTGTGGTATAAAAAACGCCCTGTAAGTATTGTAGCGCTGACGAGATTCTCACCTCACGCACAGCCCTGAATCCCCATGGAGCTAAAATAAATAAAAGGATATTAATATGCTGTGGCACTTGGCGTGGGGTGCACAGAGTGGCGGGTACATTCTTTTCATTGGCGAACTATGGCTTAGCCACCTCTTTTGTCAATTTATATTCTGGATGGAGCATAATGAGATTGTAATCGTGGTGAAAGTACGCTGTATCACTGCAAACACCCCTCTATTAAATCATTGCGTTTATGTTACTTTTATCCTTCAAGCAGTTGACTCCCTGTCACTGCTCCACTAATCTAGGTACAGCTAGGCTGAACGCATTCTGAGGATCATACCTCCGTTTGAGACCCAGCAGGGCCTCGAAGTTGGAGCCAGGGCCATAAATTTTGGATAACGGTACGTCGCCCGGCTGAGTCACAGAGATGTACGTCCCTGAGAGAAGGTTTTTGGGGTCCATTTGGAGTAGTTCGTTTTTAAGACCCGTGGCCCACTCGATAGATTCATTCACCTCCTCCTCCTTTGCCACCAAAGAAATTAACTCTAGCATAAAGTGAGGCTCTCTCGATGAAAACACCGAATCGGAGTTTGGAGCTGCCGAAAGACCACGGAGCTCATGCACGCCGAATGACGTCCCAAAGCTGGAGGGCATCTTCTCAAATGCCCTACCTAGAATCTCCGTGGCATCCTCATTCAGCTTGCGAATACTCACGGTTTGGCACGTACCATATGCGCGCTGGGGAACTTGTGTTCCTATAAAATCAATATGGTCTGCAATCGTCTTCGGTTCAACGGTGTTCATCATGACGGGGCCAAGGGCTGCGATCTTTGCGATAGTGGCGCGCGACCTGCGTCGTGATCTTCCGATGACCACACCAATGCCAAAGCAAATACTCTCCCATGAGGGGCGTTCATAATAAACTGGTATATGCCCAGCTCCAGTGGAACACTGCCATCTTCCAGTAGTGCTTGATATCCGGCATTAAAGTTCTTATACGTCGATGTGATATCCTGTGAGTCAAAGATGATCATGCCAGCAAGAACCTGATTCGACCTCAGTTTCCCTTTCTAGGCGCCTTTAAAACAGCGACTTACCTGACCCAACGGATAAACCTTCACCGTCAGTTCCACAATTACGCCAAGTGCTCCTCCCGCTCCACGAATACCCTTCAGCAGTTCCTTATTAGCAACGACAACCTCTCCTTTTGCATTGACGACTTTCGCCGCCAGAATGTTGTCTACGCCGAGACCGTACCTAGACATGATCGGTCCGTATCCTCCGTATGTGCTCCACCCAACAATACCTAGGAAACCGAGCGCACCTGTAGGTGTCACAAGTCCGTCTTTAGACAGCTCCCTAAGAAGATTGGACACTATGACCCCCCCACCCACTGTTACGGATGACTTGGTCTGGTCCACTTCAATGTAGTTAATGTCCCGCAAGTCGATCATCAAAGCATCTTGGACGCAAGACAATCCGTATATATTGTTCCCACCTGAGCGGATGGTAAATTGGATAGAACTACCAACACAGAAGTAGACCAGAGCCGCTACGTCATTTGCCGTTTGGGGCCGGACGATGGCCATTGGGGCAACAGACACGGATTGGTTGTAGATTATCTTCAATGAGGAGAACTCGGGATCTGTGGGCGACACATATTTGATCTCTGGGTGATTGTTCAGGAAGAGCCTAAGGGTAGCTCGGCTGTTATCCAACTGAGAGGTCATCTTCGACTGGAGGTCAACTTGTTGTACTGGTAAGTAAACCTGTATATTATAAAAGGTCGGTTATACGTTACTATATGCAGCGTCAGAAGATCGGACTACATAGCCTCTCTTATACTTCGTAGATGTGCTTACTTAGCTTCGTAGCTACGAATGCGCTAAAACTTTCCCGTCCGCCTTATAGGGCAAGTCTCGAACTTTAAGCATTACATCACACACTACTGACTAGTGACCCTTCTTATCGTTAGGGAATCCATCTATACTTGACTTAGTCATTATCTCTTCCGCTGTAAGCTCCCACAGTAACCCTTGTTGCTCGTCATTCCACCACACCATAGACAGGATCATATAAAAACATGTTGGTAACTATATAAGTCTCATACTTTATGCATTTTGTTAATCTGCGCTCTATGGCCCATAAACCCAGAATTCCTCTTTCACCACAACTCATTCCCACGCCTCTAAGGCCACCCTTGAAGACCAAGTGTCAGGTCATCGGTTGAAAGGAGATGCTCCTTCTTAGCCTTTAGTTCTTCAATATCCCAATTCGACCAGACGAATTTGCCTTGTAGAAACTCTGCCTCAGGGCTAACAATCCACACTGCGAAAGAAGCAGGAAGTTCGACTAAAGCACATATATACATTAGCACAGTTAATCTTCATCAATTTATAAAGGGGGGGAGGGGATTAAATAAGATGTTACTCACTGTCATCAAACGCAAAATCAAGCCCACCTTCGGAACTCTTCTTATACATTTCTGTCTGGATAACCCCTGGGTGGATAATATGAACCCTTATCTGTGGGTTCTCAAAAGCGAGGTACTCCATCATCCTAGCAGCAGCCATTTTACTTACTGCATACGCGCTATTTGCGGGCATAGGAGGTATGTGACAACCACCCGTGGACACGTGCACGAAAATCGGGTTCTCGGCGGCGTGCTTAAGGAAAGCTTTTGAAAGGATTAAGTTTCCTTTCACATTGACAGTCATTCCCCGGAACCATTCCTCGACGTTGCATTCCGCGATAGGCTTGGTATCCGGCAAGTAACCTGCATTGCTGACGAGTATATCGACTTTCCCTAGAGCCTTCTCGATGCCCTCGAATGCTTTGCTGACTGCAGATTCATCGGTAATGTCGGCAACTGAGGTGTAAACTGTGACGTTGGTATGAGCTGCTTCTACCTCTTTCTTTGTCTTCTCGAGGCTGGAAACAGTACGCCCGAGGATGACGATTTTCGTGGCGCCTGAAGTTGCGAATGCTTGGGTTATACGAGGCCCAATACCAGAGCCGCCGCCTGTGACCACGATGGTCTTTCCAGCTGTAGAGAGCTCAGGACGTGAAGGGTCAATGCCGGAGTAGGGCGAGGTGTGGAAGGTTTTTGTGTATGGTGGGAAGCCCATTGTCTCTGTAATGAGGGTTTGAATGGTATCTGTAATTATTTGAATCTCAATGTCACTAATGACCGCCCATGGCAGGGCGGGGTTAATATACTACAAGTGAAGACAGACGTCATGGCTACCACTAAAGAAAAATCCACATCCCGCGCTATCTAGGACATACCCTTAAAGCCGCTAGTTAGTTCGCTTTCCCTTAAATGAAGCTTAAGGTGCATAAAGTGGTGCCGAGAGAAAGAAGTCTAGCTGCGGAAAAAGCCGATACGCGAAACTCTCAAGGTATCTGTGGTAGGTTGGCTTTTTTACTTCTTTTCCCGAGCGAGAAAGGTTTTAACGTGATCTTTAAGCGTAAACAGTTTAATTAAAAAGGCAGTAAATCGCAGAGCAATGAAACAATTTCATATTGCATTTATAACGCTAGGAGCCTTAAGAAGCTTGCAGTAATACGTACACACAAAGTGTAATTTTTACATTGCGTTATTACTAGCTAACAAGGTTTGTCTCGACAAGGTGCAAGCTTCGGGTAGGAGGAACGGGCGTTTGATAGAAGCGATCGCGATTAATCTTATCTCGCTCCCTCGGACTTATAGCGAGTACGAGTCGGAGCGAGTACGAGGCAGAAGGACGGCAGGCAAGCGGACACCTAATTTCTAGTCTTGGTACTCATAACCTTGTCGGTATCAACGTTAAACACCGGTGATATCTCCGTGCCCATTCTTTTGCGGTGCAGTATATGTTGTCAAGATCGGTTGCTATTCGCCCCGCTAGTGTTGTCTTTCCCAGTGGAGTTGGTCAGTCCTGCATCTGTTTTTTTACAGGGGGGTCGAAGCTAAACAGAGTCTAGAATTCCAGATATTCCCACAAAGAATCTATGCGACATATTCTCATGCCAACCCAATGATCACAAACTATTAGTCACTATTTCGAGTCTTACAAAAGATGGATATCCAGGTACTTTAAATCTTTGGAGTCAGCCGAGAAATCTCGTGGTCGAGGGTGGTTTTGTTTTGGTCCGATGAAGCCATGATTGCGATTCTACATCATGTAACATGGGCCAGCTAGTCAATCTTTGCGTAGTACCCCCCGCGGCAGAGGACTTTATCATTATGACCAAAAATTGATTTGGCCATCAAATTATATGCTCGGCAGATATTGATCTCCCCCGTCGCTTATGAGCGCAACAAATGGGTGAAGTATGTTTTGTATGTTTGGTATGTTTTGTATGTTTTGCATGATTTGTTCTCGATGGGGTTGACACGGGCCTCTTCTTATGATGGGGTTCCCTGGCTTGAGATCCCTACTGTGATTTGGCACGGTATTACAGGAGTGATCATTTTCCATACTATATCAGTTGGCTATGTACACGCATGATGAGAATCTAGATAAAGTAGTCATCACATAAAGTTTGAAGGATGCATTCTAGAGGACGATGCCAGCACAGCCGGGTCTCATTTGATAGACAGATAGGCATGGGTGAACCGATATCACAGTCTGAGAGGCAATTTACTTCGTCCAACTCCCAGATATCTACAGCTTCCCTCGACCATAAGCGTATAGCACAGCCTCATCAGTTCCAGTTGGAGAACTTTAACTTTGAGCATGAACAAATCGTATAAATTGGCGTATGTAAACAGGTCGAGTAAATACTTAAGTCGGTAGAGTAGTTCCATATCATACAGAACCCGTTGTAAGAAAGTCAATAATATATTTGTCCACGTTGTGGTGCAGCATTTTAATAAGTGTATGTCTGTCTTTGAAGATAATGAGGGATTTCAATCCGATAGCTATACTACTATCATGTACATACAATAAAGCCAGCTACTAATCGACCCCTCCTGATATGCGTCCTCTATCCATATCGCTCACTACTTCCATCGCCTCTTCTAGCTCTCGATAAACGAAACAGTCTTCATTTTGCTCCGTGTCAACAGAGGCTTGCTCAGACGCCAGAATCAGAAGAAACAACGCCACTGCTGCTCACATATGAGTTCCAAGCTGTACAAGTGTCGCTCAAAACTGTTTCATCAATAAGTGCTGTAATTTCACTAACACGCTCGACGAGCTGTAGTGCAAAGCCCTCTGAGGTGTGCCATCCAATGTGACAATGCATAAGCCATGCGCCAGGGTTGTCGGTCTGAAATCCAATAACTAGATAACCGCCACCAGGTAACATGGCAACATCACGACGGGGTGGGTTAGTGAGCTGCAGTGTTGGGGCGACCGTAGCATATGTACCAGTGCCTTGAGCCAGGATGCTGAAATCGTGACCATGAAGATGGATTGGATGTGGCACTGCATTGGTAGTTTCGATGATGAAATAAACCCATTCTCCAGCCGTTGGAAGTTCAATAACGTGAGACGCGGTCGTGTACGTGTCATTTCCCTCTGAGATCTGGAGCAAGGTCGGGTTGTCCCATTCAGCAACGAAGGTTGTCGCGGCCATGAACCATTTGAAGACATTTCCAGACCTCCCTACAGTAACAGCAAAGTCGTCACTTATGTCCGGGTCGGAGGCATCAAGTGCGAGGTAAGGAACCAAGTCGGACATGGATTCATCATCGCAAGAATCAGTGTAGGTGTATGCGGTGGTAGTGGGGTCAGAAGTGCTAGTAGAGTCGTATCGTACTATGCCTTTGATGTTGTCAGCAGAGTCGTTGTCGCTGCAGGTCGTCTGGGGAATGGCCCGCATCCAATAGTCGGCGGTGGCTTGGTCGGCGGTGACAATAATATCGTATCTCTGGCCTATGCCGATATTGAGGTAGGTAGTGCTGTATGGGACGATGGGGACAAAATCCATAGCTATCACTTCTATAGTGTGGCCGTCAATCATGAACTTAAACATTGTGTCGATGGCGGCGTTGACGAGTCGGAGGCGGTAAGAAGTTCCCGAGACGAAATCCATCTCGAATCGAGAACCACCAGTGTCGTAGACATTAGTGCCGTTGATGAGACCATTGTCAAGCGTTGGTGGGCCTGTAGTTTCAGCTGCAGAGTACAGAGCATCGGCTGTCTCGTGGGTCCAGTCATTCAAGAATAGGATGCCTGCATCTTCATCGTAGTTGGCCGTGGCCGGGCCATTAATTATAATGCCTCCAAGAACACCTTCCCAGGCTATTGGAATAGTTAGTAATTTAAGGCGACTTCAATTTGAGTAATATACATACCCTGAAGAGCGAAATGAGAGTGGTACCAAGATGAGCCGTACTGCGTAGCTCTCCAGGTGTAAGTGATCGACTCTCCAGGTGCAAGGGGGCATTGAGTAATAGAAGCAACTCCATCATTCTGATTAGTGAAATTCTGGTGCAGACCGTGAAAGTGAAGACTGGTGCCATTGTCTGAAAGGCCGTTGTAAAGATGGACAACTAAGATACTCTGTGAGAAAGCGTGGAAGCGCAAGATGCCAGGAATACATACCAACAGTGTCACCCCAATTAGCAATAATGGTTGGACCAGGGAATGTACCATTGACAAGAAGCACATTTCTCTCAACACCATCTAGGGAAGCTGTGGTATTAACCAGCTCTAAATAAACCTACATTTGTTAGTTGGTTCCCTTGTGATTATGCGGAAGGGTTTTCACTTCAACAGTGTCTCCAGTATCAGGGACTTCGTCGTAGTAGTTTGTTGAGAGATCATAGTTGCCCCAACAAGATCTATCTTCTGCAGAATTTGTGCATCGTTTAGAGAGCGATCGGGTGGATGGAGACGCAGTAGCACCGGAAACAAGATATGTTGCAAGGCAAGAAGCTGCAAAGGCAAAAAAATGCATGCTGCCGAACTCTTATGTGTTGTTTGGAGGGAAACAACTGCGATAATTTGTGAAATGAAAAAAGCTAGGAAGAATGCTGAACTGGATGCTTCTTCTCGTCGCAGCTTTCTTGACATTATATACGTTATTCTTCACCATGGTACTGGTTAACCCCTGAGAATGGGGACCATGGACGACAGTCTGCCCCAGACTGGATGGGACCTAGGGTATACGTCTTTGATAGCAGAGAAGGGTCCGAAATAGGGTATGCATGAATTAGGAAAGAATTGATACGTAACCACTCAAGTGAGAATAAAAAATATACCTAGTAAAAACACATGTCGTGGACCATACCATGAGTAATGAGTCCATTTTATTCGTGGACGCTTGTAGGTGGAAGTGGCCGCAAGAAATGCCGATGGTAAGACGATGACAAAGTAAGGAGAAAGAACGTCTCATGACTTACAACTGCGCCATTTGAATTACGAGCACCACAGGTCTCGATGCCCTAGTCAAAGTTTTTTTTTTTGGATCTTACTTAGATATGGGTGAGCTAAGAACATAATTAGCAAGGGCTGCGCGGCCCCGAAGCCTTGATAAAGCTTATACCGGGATCTTAAATGAAAAATATGCATAGAGAACAATAGCGGGGACCACAATAAGCATCCTGTTTTTGTATGGGATTGGTTGGTCTTGATTGGTATGATCCGTTTGGCAGATGGGTCAGGTACCGGCGTACTAACCCCAATCGTTCCGTTTCAGGTACCCGGACGCCTCGATCCTATAATACTGCTTAGCATAACAACTATACCAACGCGTCAGCACCGGACGAATCGGGCTGAGGCTGAGAACCTAATGATCACAACCCCTTGTTTCGATTATTGATCAATGCGTTATGGGATTTGCCGCCCCTCAACATCGCACGTGGAAGGTGACCGAACGAGGCATTGATTTTATACTACCATTATCAAAGTCTATAATGCGTCCCTAAAGTGAGCTTACTTAAGAGTATCCTGGGTCCAATATTTATTTTTCACTTTCAACCTCCCTTACTATTATACCTACCTTCCCTACTTCTTAGCTATTGTCATCATTCGCCCTATCAGCCCTCACCGCCGTACACGATGTTATTCAATTCCAAGTTCATCGCAGCTCTCTTGGCTATCCCTGGGGCCACTTCGAGCAATGCTGCCGACCCAATCGACCCGTCTAATCTCAGTCTATACGCCTACGGAAGAAACATCAGCGGTTTAACTGTTTTCTATGGCGATGGTATGGACAATTATTTTGAAGCTTTCACCACAGTATATTTATGTCCTAATACTGACAATTGCCGTAGGTCTTGCTTACATTGGCTCCACCCCGCTGAACGGAGTATCTGTGGCTTCGAATATTACATGTATTTTGCATCTACCCGAATATTCCTCCTCAAACGCTCACATACTCTATAGTTTCTACCACCGATCCTGCGTCCGAAACTGCAACTTGGAACGTCACGTCAACAAACGCTGCCTTTAGCACCACTCCCTTGTTGTACATTGTTCCAACCGACAGCGCCTTCACCCAAGTTGGCTTCTACGGCAGTAGCAACAATAGTTCACTTCCCACGGGTGGGGTAACAACAGGCTTCGTCCTCTTTGGTAACTACCTATCTTACATCGCTTCTGATGGAACTATGCAACAGCAATTCTGGGCCCAGGCCACTGATACCATTGGCACTTGGAAGCTTATGTGGAATGCTGGTGGTGAGGGAGGTGTTATTGCCGACGGGTATACGATTACCCCTGTTAGCATCAAAATCCGCGCTCCACTTGTGATAGACGATTCGGCGACTAAATAGACAGTTCCAATGGGTATATCGTGATCCGTTGTGGGCATGAAGGGGGTTGGAATCAAGTATTTAAGAAAGTGATGAAGAGGGGGGGGGAGATATGGCAATCAGATTGTGGATGAGGATTATTACTTTCTGAGATCGATAGTTTGAACTTCTGTTAAATAGAACCAGTCATTCGTTAGTTTTGGACCCTTCATCGTAGCATATCCTATTATATGTTATTAGTGCTGGCTCGTGTCTGCATATTTTCTACATGCTCTGCCTGTTGTAAAATGGCTAGACGACCAATGGAGAATGAGGCTCGTTTTAACTTACGGCTAGATTATAAAATGTTGGCTTGGCTGGAATGAGAACTCCCTACACGACGACGAAATCACATCATAACGCATCTCAAATATTCCGTTGATTTGTAACCAAGTGTTGAATGTACGGCAATGTACAGTCCCGCCAAAATTCTGTAGAGATTTCAAATATCCCCCTTATGATTTACAATAGAATTCCACACCAATAACCACAATTATTTTTGCAAAAGTAGAAAATCTAGCAGATTGACGAGGGCATGTTCCGCGACATTTGGTTGGGGAGAAGATGGACTAAGCCACAATTACGACGACAGCCCGATGAACGTAATATACCCCACACTGACTCCCGAAGTAATGAATGGTACTGCTAGTTACAACGGCGAATATCTATTATTAACGTCCCACATGATGACAATAGAACACTATCGGCACTGGAAGGTTAAAGCAACAGATGTGTGTTTCATTCGTGAGTGTGCACTGACGACGACGCAGACGTGGTGATATACGTACATCTCCAAATGTGGTGTGGTCATTTGGTGAATGAGGTGGAGACTTGTGGGCACCCTGCCAATCTGATATGCACAAGCTCCAAATTTACTTGCCTTTTGCTCTCGACCCGCTCATCGGGGATCAAATTTGACTCTAATAATTCAACCCCTTAGAATCGAGTTATCATGGATGGCGTTTGGTCTCGCTGGCTGCTCGCGGGCTTGTGCAACACTGTTACTGAAAAAACTGAAAGGAATAAGGATGTGCAAATTGAACAAATATCAAAACCCCAGAATAGATATTACTAATATCGCTAGTTGCCAACAGCACTATAAGCATGGTATACCCTTTCGTTTTTTTCCTTCAGAGATTGCCTATCGAATTATCCTCCATCAGCGTCTTGACTTCCGGACACTTTTTACAATTCTTATGAGCCTTGGCCTGCTCCTGATAGAGTTGTCTTGCAGACTTGGCACTCCCATCTTTGATACTTCTTTTGGCACCGTGCTGCAACAGCATTCTCACAGCGTCAATGATCTCTAGAGAGATTGCGATGTGCAATGGTGTTCTTCCATCTGTCGTATTTTTGACATTGACATTGGCTTTCTTTTCGAGAAGAAGACGCAAGATTTCTAGCTGATCGTGGTTTGTCGTTGCTGTCCAAGACCCCATCGCCAATTGAAGCGGGGTGAGACCAGCTCCGTTTTCGCCATCCACAGGCGCATTCTTTTCCAAGAGCATACCAACTGCCCAAGGATCCTTTCGTCGCACTGCAAGATGTAGGGGCCCATTCATTGTTCCAGGCGGCGAAACATTAATGTCTGTACTGTAGTTTGGTGCCAGAAGAAGAGCTAAAGCATCTCTTCTATGTTTCGGCAATGGCTCATTTCCACCATAGAGGATCTGCAATAGCGGGACATCTCCCATTGCATCTTTGATATTTGGGTCCGCACCTGCCGCAAGGAGTATGTAAATGAGATTTGAATATCCACTCCACGCTTCATGCTCAATCGCATACTGAAGTGGAGTCCGTCTGGATACCTTGTTCTTTGCGTTGACATCAACACCATAGTTGATGAGCTCACGGACGCATTTTACATGCCTATCACTAGCTCCTCTTACCGCATTGAAAATGGGTTCCCAACGTGGTTCTCCTTTCTTACCAGGGTTACAGCCAGATTTAAGAAGCAGACGGACAGCAGATACACTACCTTCCTTTGTATATTGACCTAAGAAATTGAGTGTCTTGTCTTGCCATGGCAAGAAGACACCGGCACTGCTAAAGCGTTTTGCTGTTCGAGATGACATAACAGATGTTGGGGCAGATGAAGCCGCATCATCCCAAATCTTTTTCATGTAAATACTAGCATTCACTGGTTTGATTTTCTCCTTTGCCATGGGCTTGTGAATGAGGTTGTCAAGATTTCCCGCGGTAAGCGGTAGAGAAACCTCAGGGCCCATCCTTTTCATGTAAATATTGGTATTCACTGGTTTGATTTTCTCCTTTACCTTGGGCTTGTGACTGAGGTCATCAAGGTTTCCCGCGGTAAGCGGGAGAGAAACCTCAGGGCTCATCCTAGTAGCTGTTGGCTGTGGCTCCTTCTTGTTTATTGACGGCCCTTGTAAGACGATTGGGCTATTTTGTGGAGACGATGAAGGCGCACGCATGTTGCTGAGCCATTTCTTTATGCCATTTTCTTCGAGAGGTATGGATTTTGGTTGGTACTTCGGGCTCTCACCTTTGTCGGGTTCGGGGGGGTTGGAAGCCCTTTGAATCTTTAAGAGCTTCCCCACCCACAGAGGGCTAAGACGAAAGGATAATAATTCTTCCTTAATCCTCATAAAGGTATCCGGTACGAGATTTTCATAGTCGTCCTGTAGAGATTCGTAGCTAGTGCTCCGCCGTAATCGATCATTATCCACCGAGGACATATTCTGCAGTAGAGCAATAGAAATATGATTTAAATTATCATAGCTTCTTCTCCGACGGATGCGGGTTTTGAGAATGTAAGATGGCGAAGTGTGGATGTCATCAGAATTTGTCCATATGAGTTGAGCAAACGGCGTAAGCTGTATGTGATTCTGTATAGGAGCCTCAGTAGGTAGCAAAGAGAGGGTTGAATCATCGCATTGGATTGGTAAACCCTTATTCTCTTCTACAATAGGCGGAAACCATACGACCATCGCAAGATCCTCGTTGTCCTGCACAGGAGCTGCAGTGGCTTTCTGAGGGATGTTTAAAGCATTGGTTTGGGTTGGCAAATCCCCATTATCTTCCACGACTGGCGCAAGATCACTGGTATGCTGCACTGGAGCTGTAGTGGCTTGCTGAAGGACATTCAAAGCATCGGGTTGGATTGGTATATCCCTATTCTCTTCCACGATCGACACAATCTCTATGCTGTCCTTCACAGGCGCTGTAATGACGTTCTGAGGGAGAATTGAAGGCTCAGATTCGAACGTAATATCCTTGTCTTTTTCCAGAACTGGCGCCGGATTATACGTACATGGTTCAACTGTGATAATGAGGGGAAGCTCCTCGTCTGGCGTTTCTGGAAAAGCACCAGGAAGTAACTGTGTATCATACTCAATTGAAGCCTGTTGCGGATAGTTGACGTACGTATACGGTGATGGTACAGCGTACTCGAAATTTGGCTTTGAGGCCTGGCTTATGTTTTTTTCTACTTCCTCTGCCTCGATCACTATCTTAGAGTCTTGGAGGGTATATTCGTCTGCTTTCCTAGCAGGTTGTAATAAGGGCGACAAATGACTAGGTTCCATGACCTCTTTATTTTGTACCGGCATTGGAAGATCGGGTCTAATCGTGTTGTCCATGTCTTCATCTGTATCCGACATACTTTCGGATTCAGATTCTGTTTCCTTGCAACATCTGCCACACCAGATTCCACCATCAGCTTCACCAATATCTTCAAAAAGATCGACTGCGGTACGACGGTTGATGGGATCTTTACTGATCATCTCTTTTATCCATTGGAGTGGAGTGTTATCCGAAAGTCCCGGCATGGGTTGCAAGACTCGAAACCAGCTGATAGCAGCATCTAAGTTGTGGAAGACGAAAGGGTTTGCGGTTCCGTTTCTATGGAAATGGTCTTCCAAATTCTTCAGGGTTTTGCCTCGGAGTACCGTTGTCATTTCAAGAAATACAACGCCAAGCGACCATATGTCATTGGAGGACCGTCTAGGAGCCCCTGAATTGACTTCTGGGCTTTGATACCGAGGTGTAACGGAGGTGATATTTCCTTTTGTGACGCTATTGGAAAACTCAGTCCCTGACCAATCCAGCGCGGTACCAAAGTCTGCGATGTATATGTGCTGATTGTGAAGCAGAATATTCTCTGGCTTGATATCGTTGTGGCGAATCTGGCTGTCTTTGAGGTATCTGACAGCATTTGTGAGGCAGCCATAATAAGTCCTAAAGACAGACTTGTCACACTCCGGTAATGGTTGTTGGAGATATTTCTTCAAATTACAGTCTGCAACAGGTGTTATGAGTAGGGCGACATAGTTCAAGTCAGTATAGCTTCCTTTGACCGCAACTAAATGATCGTGGGAAAGCTTTCGGAGAGTATGAAGTTCCTTTTCGAATCGTTTGAAGACTTCTCGTCCATTGCCTTTCTTTATTCGTCTCATTCTTTTGCGAGCGTAAATGATGCCAGTGAGTTTACTCTGGACCTTTTCGACGGTTCTACATACCAGATTAGCCTACTTGATGTTTCGTTTTGCTATGAACTAACCCAGAACCACCTTTACCGATCTTCTCGATGTTAGACTTGAAGAAAGAATTGCCATCTTTGACAGTGCAATGCCCTCCTTTCTCCAGGTCGTATGCAGTGCTCAATACATAGTGTTGGAACTGGCAGAATTTGCTGAACATCTCCGGAGACTGCAGATCGCGAGGTAGGCTGGTTTTGGTTTCGTAAGGTAGGGAGATATCTGTATGGCCTAAACTTATGAAAGCATCCATCTCTTTGACGGCGTGAATCATGGAGAGAAGAGCATATGTTCTCGGTCTTCGAGCCCATTGTTCTTTTTTCAAGTCATAATAGAGAATGTCGGATATCACATCAAAGGCCTGATCCAAGATTGGTTGAAGCTCGCCGGAATCTGCTACTTCCGGTGTACAAAGAGAGTTCAAGGAGCTGAGCGCTGTCTGATGAAAGTCCATATTCGGGTCTTGGTATAAGTTGTCGCAGCGATACTGGGCCAAATTTTTGTCTCCAACAGTACACTGCTTGGACGGTTTCGGCGAAAATGGAGAGACGGGGTTAGGTATGCTTCTGCGAATAAATTCATGATTCTATGGAAACAAGGCAGAAAAAAAGAAAACAGTCTATATTGATTATGTTACAATAAAAGGAGGGGTAGGAGGCGAGGCTGTGAGGTTGTGAGGCTGTGAAGCTGTGATGCATGAAGGATTGTGTGGGTGGATAGTATGAATGCGTCCCTCTTCGCCATATCGCTAATCATTGGACGATCAAGGACAACACATCATACATGCATGACTTCGCATCAGCCTATCTAATCGCCCATCCAATCTAAGGCCAAGTACGAGATTAATTGAGGCTGGCGAAGGCGCATGCCTATTCCGAGATGTATTCTCTAATTCTCTGTGGTTCAGAAAGCATATACCTGTGATGATGAGTTGATAGGGCGAAATCATCACCATCGGTCGGGGGTTTGAAATGCTCAACCATCAATACATAAGGGTATGAACGCGCAAAATATGCCGGACTTTTGTTATCGCTGTCGATTTCTATATCGATCGCGAATTGTTGGTGTTTTCTATTGTTGCACTCGCCGCGGATGCATTTAGGCAGTTGGTCTTCTTTTGTGGATGTGATCCACGTGCTTGCATCGCGTTGCATTGGCGTACTTCGGTTGGTGAACAATATTGTAAGCGTCTTCATCTTACCCTCATCTCTGTTACATTTTACGCAGAGTAAAATGCTATATATTTTTTTAGGAAAGAATGCATGTTACATCAACTCTGCTAGCAATTATTTGACATCTGAGATCTTATCTTGGTTTGGATCTCGACTTTCTGTCTCCCACTTTTCATCTTCCGTTGGGACCTTACCATCATGAGCGGTTTCGACGTCGCAGCAGGTGTAGTTGGCGTCGTTTCGTTAAGCGTGACCATCTTTCAAGGCTGCATCCAGGGATTTGTGCTCCTTTCTACAGCGCAGAACTTTGGTCGAGATGCGGATATTGTTCGTTGCATGATTGAATGGGAACAGTACCGATTGTGTGAGTGGGCAGAAAAGGTAGGACTGGAGACGAAGCCAAATCGGAAAATCAACTGGAGCCTTGTTTCCCAGCATCTCCACCAGTTGAAGGCAATCCTTACGGACGTGAACAAAATTAAGAAGGACTATGAACTTCGTATTGAGGTTACAGATGACGATCTCAAACTGGAGGACATTGCAGCAACGAGAAAAGGACTTCAGGGGAGACTGGCTATGTTGAAACCCAAACTTCAGAACCAGACCGCTCAGAGATTACATAAGAGCAGCACGCCATGGAAGAGACTCCGATGGGCGGCATTCGACAAGGAGCGACTTCAAATACTCATCCAGGACGTTAAATATTTTAACGATCGTCTGTACGATTTGCTAGAGAACTCGGATCGAGAGTTCTTCAAACAGGCACTAGAGGCACTATTGAGAAATGTAATTTCTCAGACCGAAAGTTCCAGTGACTTAGATAGTATCAAAATGCTTCTCAGTCCCGACATATCGAAAGAAGGGTTGGAGAGTGCTGTTTCTGCTGCTGCCACCTTGAAACAACGACGTTTAGCCCTTGACTTTACCGAATATGACACGAATAGGACGTCTCGATCTAATATCGCTTCGACGATGTCGCACAGGCCTTACCCTTCCCGGGGAAGAATTCCAATCAACAATTCCAGGGGTCCTCGCAAACTCCATCTTGCTTCTTTATCCGGGTTTTCCCCACCTTCTGCGGAAAAGAGACGAGAACTCGCAGTATACGAGGGTCAAAGGGTTCTCCTTGAATGGAAGACAATCAAAAAAGCTGACGAGTCGAAATTAAAGCACCGCGTGGAAGCTTTGGCAACATTGCTTGGGAACATTACTCATCCCTCGTTCCATTCCTTGAAGTGCAAAGGTTCGTTGAAGGTTTCTAGCGGAGAGTTCGCCTACATATTCGAGGCGCCACCTCTTCAATCAGTGGATTTCTGCTCTTTACTTCAGCTTCTGCGCATGGAATGCCGACCAAGCTTAAGCGATCGTGTCTCTCTCGGAGCCGCACTTGCTGAAACAGTTCTACAACTTCACACATCCGGTTGGCTGCACAAAGGTATCCGATCTGATAATGTGATCTTTTGCCGAGAGAAAGATCATAATTGGAAAGCTGATAACTTATGTCCTGTCTACCTCGGGGGCTACGAATATGCACGCGCGGATAACCCTTTGGATATCACAGAAGCGCCATCATCACAAAAAGAAACAGATATATACCGCCATCCAGAACTTACCGGCGGTTCCCACAATTCATACAAGAAGCAGTACGATTTATATGCTCTCGGTTGCGTGCTTTTAGAGATTGGACTTTGGTGCTCTTTGCAGAATATTTTGCTGCTTGCTCTGCGGCGGAAAACTGAAGATTTTAGAGTTCGGCATGGTCTACAGCTTGAATTTGGTGGACAGGTAGAGGTCGCTGAGCTCAGCGAGAAAAGGAGGATGCTAGTCACCGACATTCGTGACGGGGCCATCATCAAAGAATTGGAGTTTATGGCAGGGAAGAAATACGCGTCAGTGGTCATGGCTTGTCTGACGGCTGGCGATGAGGTGCAATCCAACAATGAAAAGGAAGAGGAGGGTGACTCAGGTGAAGAGGAGGGTGATTTTGCGACACTGTTGGATCTTCAAGAATGGGTGGTGATGGAGCTAAAAAGCTCCATCGTTTAGGAAATCTTGACACCACTTGAAGATTAGTCTCAGATCTAGCTTAAACACAGAGCCAATCATTTTATCTCGTACATGTTCCCAGAAAGAGATCCGAAAAATATATAGATTGGAAATCCTGTCGCGGAGAGCTTCTGTCCAGGAAACAAAATCCAGGGATTCCCCGCAATCTTACAGAAAGTGGGGGAGAACGAACCTGAGCCTAACAAGGTAGTACAGTTGCGCGAGTTTGTACCCCGCCTTCGTCGGGTCCCCATATACCAATAGAGTCAAGCTCTCCCCGCACACTTACCCCAAATCGCCCTGTGGCCCAAACATCTCGGAATTACTCCGACATTGCCTGGCCTACTATATCTAGGCGTCCCATAAATCCGAGCGTTACCGCTGTTATCCAGAAATGTACACATTTTTCGTTATTTGCCAACCAGTGCGACACAACGGCTATTGAGCTATCCCCGCAAGCAAATATTGACAACAAATAGCGATAGAAAGAGCGCAGATGGAGGGTAATTTACATGGTGCCAACAGCGTGGAGACGGAGGCACGGGTGGATGTACCTAATACAAACCAACAACCTCGCCGTAAATCACGCGCGGATAACTCATCTGCAAAGGGATTCAAACGTGCATACAAAGCTTGCGTGCGTTGTCGGATGAGCAAGGCTAAATGCGAACTTCCACAAACTGGGGATAGCTCTCTGCCATTGGGATCTTGCAGTAAGATCTCTTCCGCGAAACCTTCCCCCGGCTACTGCATGCTTTTGGATTTCACTAACCTACTCTATCCAAGTGAAATGCCAACGGGAGAGAAGAAAGTGCGAGTTCACGGTTACTAGATCCTCAAAAAAACGTCAAAAGCCTTCCAATGTCCAGCCGGATAGCCTCGACTCTGAACGGCCCCATCATGGTTAGTTATATCCCTAAATAACTGTAATAGATGTTTAGGATAGCATTAATACCCCTTGCTAGTTCATCCCCCGTCTACTGACCACTCTAGAACTGCCGAAAATGTCACAAATTCCGACGACGACGACAACGACGACGACAATCAAGCGCATGGAGGAGACTCCCAGTCTTCATTTGACTACAACTCACACCAATCACATAACAGACAAGAGTTCCAGGGGTCTCCTAGAAGTAACTGGTTAAATGCGAGTTCTATAATAGAACCACACAAATCAGCAGACGCTGATGGCTCGGATTCGGAACTGTCGAGTACATCCAAACGCCCAAGACGCCAAAGTATGATACAAAGATCTGTATTGAGTAATCGAGTCATGCGAACAGTCGTCTCTTCTTCAAACGACGCCCTAGGTCTTCTTTTCGAAGCAGTTGAGCAAGAGCAAAACGGTTCATTCAGCGGCGGCTTACAAGCTCTTGAAACTAATACTAACGGATCTCATGCTTCCCAACATCCAGCTCAGCATATAAGTCCCCATTCAGCCATGTCAACTGTTTCAAAACCGGGACCAATTCTCCAAAACGAGCTCTCATCTGCAACCCCTGAAATATTAAGGCTCTGGAACCGATGTCGCTTTGTGAAACAAGGGTGGTTTACTGCAAGGGAAGCTATTACATATATTGACTTGTAGGTGATTATTTATTGTTCATGTCATATGAGAAAATCTTTCTCCTTTACATGGTGCTGAATATACTAGGTTCTTAAAAAACTGTGCTCCTCATACGCCAATCTTAACGGATTACTATTTTCATCATTCAAACCATCATGCTCTTGTTACAGAAGAACCCCTTCTATGTTGTACAATACTCATGATCTCTTCTCGCATCCATGTTTTACCGGGCATGGGCGGTATCTCCCGGGCCCATTTTATTCATGGGCGGCTCTGGCAGCACCTCGAGCATCTTATCTCCCGTGTGATCTTTGGCCAGGAAAAGATTTCGACTGCAAAGACACGAACACTTGGTACTATAGAGAGTCTATTGCTCATGACGGAATGGCACCCTCGAGCCCTTCACTTCCCCCCAGAAAGCGATGGATGGGATTTTGATCTTCTGGCGAACCCTGATATGCCCGAGGGAACAGGCATGGCGGATGCTGAAGATTCCTCGGCACTGTATCGGTGGCGAGAAGAGGTTTTTGAGCCTGCTAAACGGTCCGATCGCATGTCATGGATGTTAGTGGGCGCTGCAAACTCTCTAGCACACGAGCTAGGGATTTTTAATGACTGGGATGCGTCCGCTGGTAAGGAAGGTAGTTCGACTCCCGTAGATGAGATGCGAAGATTACGCGCGCGAATGCTTCTATACGTCTATATTAACCAGCTCGCCGCGCGGCTAGGGTGCACGACGTTGGTACCAGAAAATGCTTGTCATACCGTTATGGATAAATCGTTGCTGCCAGCGATGACAATACCAGATCAGCGCTGGTATTCTTTTATGACTTGCTGGATAGAAATAACCGCATTGATGGAGACGGTCACGGATATGTTTTTTCCTTCTGCAGCCTTTACACGTCAGCTGCTCTTAAGCGGTCGGTATAAAGGACTTGTGAATCATTTCCAACCCTTGCTATCACAGTGGAATGAGAAATCTAAAAAACTAGAAGGTGAGGTTGATTTCTGTGGTTTTCAAATGTTGTAGAGAAATATTATTATTCTCATATCCATCACTGGCATATACAATACATCAAGCTCACATTTTCTGGCCTTGCAGGAATCTCAACGCCATTTAGAGATATCCTCTTTCTCGAATACCACTATATCCGAATGTATGTCAATTCTCTCTCGATTCAAGCCATCGTCGAGCGTACAGTCTCTCAAAGCAACAACTCCGCCACCGCTGAGACAGCACCCTATGAAAGGAGTGCATCCCAACTGCCTTCCGACGATCTTCTTGTTACATCTATCTCTGCGAGCGATTACAATCTTATCTCAGAAGTCATTGACGCCAGTGTTCAAATTCTTAAAAAGTCTATTTCACTTTCGCAGTTGGGTCAGCTTATTCACGCTCCAATGCGCACGTATGTGCGTATAGTATCTGCCTCAATTTTTCTTCTCAAAGCCATTTCGCTCGGCGCGCGCAACACCGATATCCAGACTTCTCTAGACGTCTTAGATGAATTCATCCAAGCCCTTCAGATATCCACCACCGATGAAGTGCATCTGGGCTCCCGTTACGCCACTCTCCTTGAACGACATGTTCGCCGCTTCAGGCGGAACTTCGTGGGGCTATTCAAGGCTAGCAAGGCAGGACTACATCGGCCATCGACGTTAAATGTCCCGCCATATGCGCAGATGACCTCTTCATCGCTAAACCACTTAAGTCCAAGGCAGAATGACCACACGGCTAATTCAGATGGGCCCTTAAATGGCGAGCAAGGGCTGGGAGAGATGGCGGGGCAAGCCAGAACGTTGGATTTTGATGGCATGCAATTCACAGGTGATGGTGGGCTGAACGTTGCCGGCTACTTGGGGGATGATTGGCTTGCACAGCCGTTTGACCCCAATATTGCGCCGTTTGGCGTAGGAGGCTCGCAATCCATGGGTGGGATAGATTTGGGTTCTCTAGATTTTTTGTGGAATTTGCTTTGATACCTGTATTCGTTTCTATCAGTAACAACGGGGTTCGGTTTCAGGAATATGTATCAAAGAAACTACTTGAGTTTTGTGTAATATTAATGCTTTTATACAAGTTTGGTAGGTGCTCTGGCTTAAAATGGTTTGATTATGCTGTGCGTTACTATATTTGTAGTGCTTGACAACAATTTGAGGATATATTCAAGCTAAAAGGGTAGATGGGCAGATCCAGAATATTTAATGGTGGATTATGAGCGCCATGCCAATACCACCGCGGCGGAGGCAAGAGAGAGCATATAGTACGCACATTATTGGAAGAATCCTTCTATCAAACTTATTTGGAATGATTAATATCTGACATTTCTCGGTATCAGTACCCAAAAATACGTACCTTTCGGCTCAAGAGTCAAGAGGGTCCGTCATCAGTCAGAAACGAGTAGTCTTGGGTGTGAACTATGGGTTTATTATACGGAATGAGAACCCTTACTTTTTTAGGATATGCATCAATGAACTTCGTGGCTTTGAGACGGGGCCGTCAATACCATAATATGCTAGTTAAAATGGGTGGCCAATCCGCCTACAATAGTGATTTGTGTGATACTCGGGGCTAGGTATGGTACCGGATTGTTTTTGCGGGGTTTGCGGGATTTGCGGGGGATCCACACCCCTCCAGTTGGGGGATCATAGCATTGCCTGAAATATCCGAGTGATTGGCAAATACCGGATGGGTCCGGATATCGGCGGATTTAATTATAAACGTAGCCACACCCAACTTACTTTGCCCTGCAAAATGGAGGCCAAATATCCTCAGAAGACGAAGGCGGAGACAGAGTCGGATGGATCGATATCACTTCCGGATGGAACGACTTATATTTTTTGGTACATCCTCTATATATACACACTGAGTCTCCCGCAATGGGCAGTTCACAGAAATCACTCGATATCTTCTGAAGAACAAAGCCGAAACACCTGTGAACTCAATTCCAAACTCGAAATAACAAAATGACTGCCTCCATTGTTAACACTCATGAATATCCATTCAAGTTCGATGAGCCAATAATTACGAAGCCGGGCAATCCAGGCAAGTGAACTTTTTCAAATGGCCAATCTGGCAATGACAATCCACTAATCATTCCCTCAGGTGTCATCCAAGATGTGACAGTAACGCTGAAGAACGTACGCGGCAGGATTCCTTCGCTCCAAGCATCCCGCCTTCGAACCATGATGCTTGAGGCCCACAACGACCCATCGAAAATTCTTGCCCATGTCTGCAGCTACGATGGCATGTCATCTCGACTCGTTGAAGAGTCAGGCCAGCCCATGGTTTTTCTAGCGGGGTACCCAGTTGCCTCGGGCTATGGCCTCCCCGACACCGGATATATTGCCATGCAGGAGATGTGTGACAAGATTCAGGATTCAGTCAGACAGGTCTCAATTCCTGTTATGGCGGATGGGGATACTGGTTACGGCTCTCCGATGAACGTCCGCCGCACTGTGGAGAGCTATGCACTCGCGGGTGCAGCTGGAGTCATGATTGAAGACCAGACTTGGCCAAAGAGTAAGTTGTCTGTCCAAAGCTTCAAACTCCACTAACTGAAAATGTAGGATGCGGCCATACCAAAGGCAAAGCCGTTGTCTCACGCGGTGAAGCTTACGCTCGCATCCAAGCCGCGTGTGACGCACGCGACCAAGGCCTCGACATATTTGTCCTTGCCCGCACTGATGCGCTCATTCACGGCTGGGAGGAGGCCATGGCACGTGTGCAGGAGTTCAGGCGCATTGGTGTCGATGCCGTTTTCGTCGAGGCTCTACCTGACCGGGAAGCGATGAAGCAATGCGTCAAAGAGTCCGGAATCCCTACATTTGCCAATATAATTGAGGGAGGTAAGACGGAGAACTTATCCGCGAAGGACCTTGCCGAATTGGGCTTCTGCGCTGTGGCGTACCCGTGGACACTAGTCGCCGCGAACCTGAAGAGCATTAGGGGTACGTATTATTCAATATTCATTCATTTTTCGCTGTCGCAAACTCTAACGAACACCATCCAGAAACTCTTGAGGCATGTAAGAAGTCGATGACTATTGGAGCACCACCAGTTATTCTGAGTTTCGACGAAGTGTGCTTAGGCGTTGGATTTAACAAGTACTGGAAGGGAGAAGAGAGATACAAGTATGACGAGAATAACCTTGTGACACCAGTGGAGAAGGTTGTAAATGGTCAATCCTAAAAGATTTCTCTTGCTCGGCTTTTCAAGTTGAGATATAAACCTCACAAAAAGAATATCGGTTTAACGGGTGGTGCACAAAGTCTTATGTACATAGCTATTAAACGCAAAATAGAACACAGGTCATATCTTTTCAAATCATTGCAAACCAGTATCCAAATTCAAACCGTCAATCCAGCCTAAGTTATGGAAAGTAATTAGGTATATGTGAACTCGCCTTTATTTTCTTCGGGAGATAATAGTCGTAGGCCAGAGTTGGGCGCTGGAGAGGGCGATCGCATCGCATGATATGGCAGTTGTTGGTGGAAATCTTACTGGATTTTAAAACGTGATGCAAACTCCGGCATGAAAGTCTAGCTGTTTCCCCCAACAACTCTTTCCAGGGCCGGAGGGTCGTGTAGAATAGTTTCAGGACGTGTGCATGAGTATACTATACCAACGCCCGTAGGCAATCGTCGTTTATTCTAACGTAACGCACAGAGTTTATCAGGGCGGACGGATACATATATGCTCTTCAAGTTATGTGCCTGGGTTATGGGGATTTTTCTAGCTGGGTCCTTATTAGGGGGTACATTTACGAATCTTGATTCTTGGCAGTAGTCCATTAATTGTATAAGTTATAACGTACCTAACCTATGGGAAAGTAGAATATTTCCGCAAGACTTTATCAATTGGGTGGACACCAACCTAAACAAACCAAGTATCACAATCAAAACATGTAGGTAATACCTCCTCGAATGACTGCATTTCAATACTAACAGTAAAGAAATATAGCTATTTCAGCAAACATTCCCCAGAGGCTGCCAAGTATTCCAGCCTTATGTAAAGTATCTAAAGTTTGGGTGCTTGTCACTGAGCTGCGTAAGATCCAATGCCTCGGTTGGGTCGATGGGTCCTGTAGCCGTATCCCTCTTCTTGTTCTCATGGGCCAACTTGAAATGAAGACCAAGGGACAACACACAGATGAGCCCCGTGAAGGCACAACCAATTGCACATCCCTTGACAAAATAGGGTCTTTCATAATAGGTCAGCATCAGTTTCAAATAAATAATCGCCAATAAGATGAACTCACCCGTCTTCTTTGGGAAACACAGCACTGCTGAGGAACGAGCTCGTCTGCCCAAATATCGCAAGTATTGCAAGTCCAGCTCCACGCTTTGATTCTCCGCCTTGATTGTTGAGTAGCCAGGTGATGTTAATTGACAGTGCGGGAAAGACGCCGCAGCAGGCAAGCCAGATTCCGAAATAACGGGCTCCGTTGTATTTCGCATCTTCTAGAGTTGCAAGGAGTAGATAGCCGACGGCTCCCATAAAAGAAAATCCTGCGACGACAAAGCCTCTGTTCCCATACTTATCACTGTAAAAGGCAACCAAAACGCATAGCAAAAAGGCTGCAAGATATGGTGGAGCAGTAAGTCCCTGAGCTTGAATGCTGGTGTAGTTGAGATTCTCAACAATGGTGGGAAGGAAGTTGGAGAGACCAGCGAAGGAATAATTGCAGCAGAAATGTATAAGCGCATGTACATAGTTCTGATAGTCTGAGAGACCAGCGGTCACTTGTCTCCAGTTCATCTTGGTCTTGGCAGTGGTATCCCGAGTATGCATGCGTTCGACTGCCCCAGTCTGCTCATCTTCGGTAAGGAATTTAGCGGTGCTTGGGGAATCTGGGAGTAAAAAGAAGACCACGGGAGCAAATGCTATGGTCGGAGCACCCTCTGGGAACTATTAGCACTAGCTTTATGATCAGGAGAATTCTTAACTTGCCGATAAGGAAGAGTAAACGCCATGGCTCAAGGGATCCTTTTATATGTGTAATCCCATAGGCCAAAGATGCTGCAAAACAATTTGCCAATGGGGACATGCCTGTCAGCAAAGCAACTCTCAGGCCTAATTCTTTTCGCTGATAGAAGAGAGACAGGTAGTAGGGAGCTCCAGCACCGAAGCCTGCCTCCAAAACTCCTAAAACACATCGAGCAGCAACGAGTCCCGCCATGTTGTGGGTAGCTCCTGCGGACATTGCGGCGATACCCCAGCTATTGAAAGTTCAGTCAAAGAAATTTTCTGACTTAATTTTAACTTACGACAGACAAATAACTGACACGTAAATGTGCGCAGGAAAAATCTTCCATAGTACTGTCGCCCATTCGAATACCGTATAGCATATATAGAATCCATTGAGAACCCAAGTCCACTAGACAGTGTCAATATAAAGAGGGGACGTATGAGGGTTGTTGAAACATACTTGTGCACTGCTCAATCCTAAATCGGCTTGAGCGCCGGCAGTTTTGGCATTGCCGATATTTCCACGATCGAGGTACGATAGGACATATAAGACACAGACAATCCAAAGCATATGGCGATCATACTATTCTTTCATCAGTAACTACTACCAAGGAATATTTGCAGGAACACACCTTTTTCACGAAATAGATCTGTCTATTTGCATCAACGAGGACGTGAGTTGCCTCAGCCTTCAGCTCGCTCACCATCTCTGCGTGGCTTACTTCAGCATCGAAGTCCTTGTTTACAGAAGTATCTGTAACTGTATTGCTCATGTTCACTGTTGTATTGTGTCCAGATAATGTTGAGGATGGATGAATGGAAGATTGATCATGTAGCCCCAAATAGACGGCGGATGTCAGGGGCTATATCTTGAACGACAGCAACGCCAACTCTTCATATCTTAAACCACTGAAAAGGATGCCCAATCATATCGACGTAATATTTATTATACTGGCGACCTGAGCCACTGACCCATGGGGATGGTCCGTGGTTTCCTGTACCCCAGATCCGGGGTATGCGGGGAAATTGCTTTTGCGGGGTAAAAATGGACTAATCTCATGCGATTGAATTCTGAATATCCTGTTATAACCGGCACCCCACCAGCCTCTACATCAATCCCGGATACTGTCCCACATCTCGGCCACAACTTTAGGCATAGGCTGTGGGACTTTAATAATGTTTCATGAATGAAGCCAATGGGCTCGGAAGAAAAAAATGTGGATATTATCTTGAATCCTATTATTATACGCGCCCGATCGGTCCAATCATGGAATTTTTATATCCGCTGGGAGCGCTGCTTGACAGTTTCGCCACGTAGATTACCTTAGGGGTTTGAGTTGGATGCTTGTGTCTCCCGCTGCTTAGTTGCCAAACCTGGCGCCTATATGCAAATACATATCGGCCATCTTCTCAAGCGCTTCCAAATATAACTCCCTCAGCTCTCAAGGTAACTCTCCACCATCGCTCCAAGCAGTTCCAGCCCCTGAAACATTGTGCATCGATGAGTATACGCGCTGGCCGCTGCTCAGCTTAAGATATGTGGATCAAGTAGGGCAGTTACAACTACGTGACCACCCTCTACTCGAACCTATCTATCACTAGTAAAGCTTTTGGCAAATTGGGCAATTTACGGTATAACAAAAGTTGTTCTCTAGCCCGAGTTTCGAATACAAGGATGGAAGCTTGGTTTTGAAATACTCTCCTCTCAAATGCGGATCTACCAGGAAATAGGCGGATCTATGTCCCATCGCTTTCCGGCACAATCCATCCCCCATCCAGGCCAGTGGGCATTCCGTCACACAGCACTAAGCTACAGATATAACGCATAGCCTTTCTCTGGGGATTATACTCACGGTATTAATTCCGTGCTTATATGAAAGATTATAGCCGGCCCGTCATGATATTTGAGATACCATGCGTTACGAGTTACTTTTTACAAATCATTAAGTGCTAGTTTTATAATCTTGAGCAACCTCTACTCTAGCTGTTCTTTTTACCCCCACACCATATCATTCAAGATCTAGAACACTTTATTATGTCTTTCTCACACATAGATTTTTGATATTACCACTACACATGGCACCAAACAATATCAGCATCTTATTACAAGGCCCAATACTCTGCAACACCCTGTTGAGCCAGTTACACCAATAAATACGACCATCCTAGGGCATCGCCGATTCGTAATGTTGTCGTTAGTTGATCGACATTATCGTGTGTGCTCGACGAGTAAAATGCCCCTATAGGAGCATATCTGGTGTTGGGAGGAAGTTCACGGCATAGTTACCTCACATGGAATTCCACTAGAGATAGCAGAGTTGATTGCGGACATGGCAGACGATTAGCCAGTCAGTATGGATGAGGCGAGTAGAGATTAAGAGCAACTCATGAGAGAACAAAAGTGGGCAGAGTAGGCGTTTACTAATAGTTTGAGTTGCCTGGTAGTTGGCGAAAAATACTAGACAATTTGCCTCCGGTGCGCAAAACATATTCGTATTCAAGACAGCTTATGCGCGTCTATGTACAGAAACTAACTTAATGTCTCGTAATAATCAATTGGATATCCCAACGAAGCGCACTGCGGCCCATCGTCGATATAATGGATATTCCTTCCACCCAGCTGCAACATCCTCACCTCGTTACCATCCCCGGTCAACTCTCTCCACCTCCCAAACTCCTTCACCTGTCTCAGAGTCTGCACATACCCTCTTGCCGCCAAGTATCCCGCATCCGGATTGGGATCCTGCGTCCGCGCAAACGACGTCCAGTAATCCACCACCAGCTGTGCAAATGGGACATCGCCCCCATCCCGATCGACGAGGCCGTCGTGCAGAATGTTCCCAAAGACGAACTGAAGCTCTCCAGCATGACACTTGTAGTACTCAGCGTTAGCATCGCCAGCCGGGTGCTCTGTAGTCAGAGGGGCACGGCATTCATCTCCCCCGAAGCCGACGGGTTGGTAGGTGCGGTTGAAGGTAAATGCGTAAGCTTTGGGGAAGACGCCGTGCTTGACAGCAGAGGCCACCATTGCTTGTTCGCCGCAGCGCAGGGCGACGTCGGTGAGGATGCGGGAGGTGATGTTAAAGATATTACCTGCAGTGTTTGCGCCAGGAGGGAGCGGGAAGATGCCGGGCGCGGCGGCGGCAGTTGTGTTAAATCCGAGGGCAGCGCCAAGACCCAGGATGGCTTCAGTGGGATCGGTGATGGGGAGGTAGAGGCCGAGAACAGCAAGTTCGTCGCGATTGCCGCCGTTCATTACGGGAACATGGGCCGCGTATCCGCCGCCAGTGACTTCGAGGCGGGGTGTGGTAAGGTAGGTTCCGTCGACGACGGGGTAGCTAGGAAGGTTAGCTTTGGAATAGACGCATGGATATGGACGTACTTTGCCACTGCCGCCAGGTTGTTGAGCTCAATGGGATCATAGGCTCGAAGGCAGGCGAGCTTATCAGCAGCTTCCGAGCAGCTGGTCTCGTTGAGGACAGCAGCACCAACAGTGCTGGATACTTGCTGTATGGATTGTAGCTCGGAGTACGGGCCATTTGCAAGGGCACCTGCTGGGTTCGACTGCATAATTCCAGCCTCAAAGAGGCCTTTCGCTTTGGGAGATGCTAACAATGCGCGAACTAATGATGCGCCGGCAGAGGAGCCGAAGACTGTGATCCGAGAGGGGTCGCCTCCGAACGCCTTTACATTCCGCTTCACCCATTCTAATGCAGTGATGGCATCTTGAATCCCGTAATTCCCGTTAGTCACACCGTCATCGAGGGCCAGGAAGCCGAGATTCGCCATCCGGTAGTTGATCGAAATAACAACCACGTCGCCTCGAGACGCCATATTCCCAAGATCGTCGACGCTTGCTGATCCGCCTACAAAGCCACCGCCAACCATATAAAACATGACAGCTTTAAGCTTCTTTGTCGCCGGTGCAGTCTTCTGTGACGGTAGGTACGGAGTCCAGACGTTTAAGAACAGGCAGTCTTCACTTCCTACTCCAGGGGCTTGCACGCACTCAGTACCAGACTCGAGACTCTCCGCACTCCCCTCTCCATCATAAACCGTAGAGTAGCTGAAGCGCTCTGGCTGTGGGGCAAAGCGGACTCCAAAGAAACGCCAGTTGTAGAAGTCGCGATACCCGGTAAGCGTCTGCTTGCCAACCTTCTGTGCCACCTGGAACCGCGCAGAGGTGTCCGTGAAGGTGGCGTTCGGGATTGGCGCGCTCTGAGTGCATAGAGCTGGGAGTTTCTGGGAGCACGATACGAGTTTCGTTTTCCCTTTGGCATCAATAGCTTGGCAGGCTTTCCGGTCGCTAGCTACCCAGAACAACTGGCTTTTGCCATAGTTACCTTGGTAGACCTGATAGGCGAGACTTCTATCTAGTCCGAGGTTGAAATCCTCTGCCGATGGGTCCCAGAGTGTTTCTGCGAAGCTAGTGCACCGTGCTGCCGCATCTTTTTGGCAAAACGCGGTGTTCACAAGGAGTGCACCGGTTGTCCGCGTAGTATGGCTAGCTGAAGCTTCATGTTAGATATGATGCGCAATTGGGGTTTCACACATACAGTATAGATCATTGTTTGATAGAATTGTCACATCTGATCCAAGTGCTGGCAGATTCGGAGCAGCACAGGCAGCAAGGCGGGCTACAGAGAGCAATGCGCTGGCCTTGAGGAAAGTCATGATAGCTGGCTTCTTACATTGAACAGGGCGTATTTAGCACATTATATATTATTTTGCCTCCTCCCCCGAAGCACGGCCAAAACTATCGACCCTATCATCATACCTGTGGAGATGGTTTAAGCATATTACCCCATTGGAGGGTATGGTATGGCAGGAAATATGGGACAAGGTTCTCAATCCTCACAAACGCCACTACTGATCCACAGGCGTATTTCGGTCCGTCAGAACCTGAAGTATATAATGGGGAGGAGGGTGGAGATAGAGGGTGGGGACGTTGAGCATGGGTAAATACCCATCGGCGGCGGCGTGGAAGCTTCCGAATGCTCACTGGCAATCTCCCAGCTCAATTTAAAGCTAAGCGCTAGTAGAGAATAGAAGGCCTGAGGCCGCGCTAATCGACGAAATTGTCTCCGAATGAGGGGTACGGAGGGGTACAATCACTAGTCCTATATTAGCTAGTGTGGCGCGCGGTAAATTACCCGAATGGCTCTAATCGGGGTGGCATCTGCATGGTAAGCGCACCACATGGCTTTCCGAATTCTCATTCTTGCTACCCCACGTTGTCTAAGTGTCCCACTGTCTGCCCGCCGGATAGCAGTTTCTCGTAGGTTCACGGCCTTCTAAGCTGCTTCACCAAAAGCTAATCCCCAATCCACAGACTTCTCAAGCTTCATACATTCTTCCACACAAACCAGATCAATGGCGACAGAAAACGCCCTCCCCCGGGACACCCCCGTCCTGTCGACTATCGAAGCCGCGAAGCGCGCCGCGGCCTTCAAAGCCGTCGAGGACCACTTCGATCCCGCCTACCGCTACATCGGCATCGGCTCCGGTAGCACTGTAGTCTATGTCGTCGAGGCAATCGCCGCGCAGGGTCGCGCCATAACCAACAACATGATCTTCGTCCCAACAGGCGACCAGTCCAAGCAGATCATCATAGAGGCCGGGCTTCCTCTCGGGAGCATCGATTCGCTACCACCCGTGCACGAGAACCCACCTGCGATCAGCGGGGCATCGTCGCAGCTTCTTGCCGTTGGGGAGCAGGACCTCGCGCTGAAGGGGAAGCGCCAAAGTCTGGACGTTGCGTTCGATGGTGCTGACGAGATCGACGAGGAGCTGAACTGCATCAAAGGCGGTGGCGCGTGTTTGTTCCAGGAGAAATTGGTAGCGACGAGCGCGAAGAAGTTTGTTTGCGTTGCTGGTATGAATACCCCTCTCTGTCACATGTGAGTCACAGCAGATACTAACATGGCGTGCACAGATTACCGCAAGCTACAGCCCCGCCTCCTCACAGCCTGGAAGGCCATCCCGATTGAGATCGCGCCCATGTCTGCACCGGTCATCAAGCGCATGCTCATCACCCTCGGCTCCCCCGACCCGCGCATCCGACAGGGTGGCTCTGCAAAGGCAGGGCCCGTCGTTACGGACAACGGGATGTGGATTATCGACGCTCCCTTCCCCGCGCTGAAGCTTACCAAGGACCTCGCAGAGGGCGATAATGGTGATGGCACGAAGGGGACGTGGGAGGTGCACGCCCTGGGAAGGAGACTGAAGAGGATAGTGGGCGTGCTGGATGTTGGCCTTTTCCACGGCCGGAATGGGATTCAGGTTGCGAATTCGGGAGAGGAGGGAGGGGGACAGAAGCCCGTTGCGGCGTACTTTGGGATGGCGGATGGAGGAGTGGAGGTCAGGGTCGCTCAGGAGATTGAGGGCGTGAAGTCAAAGCCATAGTTGGACAGAAGACGGGGAAAAGCTAAGTCGTCTTTCATTGGCAAAAATTAGAATACTAGACCCATTTACTGGTCCACAACACTGCTTCCAATTGCGTGAGTATCCTAATATGTCCGTTTTCCAGCTAGGATTTGACTGCTCTATTGCAACCACTTGGGCACAGCCAGTCGTCATAGAGTCCCAAGTCAACGGTTCTAACACCAATCACCCAGCTTCAAAAACCACAGGCTTCATATAGATAGTGGCTGTGAGCGAATGTTACCTCAAATTGATGCATTGTTGGGGTGGGCGTCACTTATAATTGAGATAGAAAGGCAACGAATAGTTTATGAAGCTGTGCAAACGAATTTAACTACAAACGACTCTTCTATTAAACGCTCGCCAGAAAGCAAATAAAGGGTGCACAATGCACATCAAGAAGCAAAAGCTGACCCTCTCTCTTCTGTTCGCCTTGTTCGCCACACTCACATCGCCCTTCCCTTCCCCTTCCCCCCTCCATCTAGAGCTGGAAACTCCTCGCTCACTTCTGCAGCAATAGCCCGGCTCTCTTCCTCCGCCAAACTGAGCTGAAGCGCATAATCCAAATCCTCCATGGCAATCTCGGCCTCCTTCTGCTTTCTGCGGCGAGTCTTCGACGCTTGGCTAGTAGACGGCGACGTTGATGCCGAGCGCCTGCTCTTCTTTGTCTTCACCACAAAAGGGACGTCGTAGCTCCTGCTCCCACTGCCCGGAGGTGAAGATGCCTCGCTCTCGAGCAGCGACAGCCGGATCGCCTCTTCCACCTCCCTCTCCAGCTCCATCTCGCTCTTCATATTCGGCGACGACGCGTTGTATCCTGCGACACTCGGCGCGGGTGAGCCAAACGTACTACTAACGGCGCTCTGGCTCGGCTCAGGTGTTCCTTGACCACGATCACCGCTGGCACTAGTGAGCCTTCGCTCTTCCTCTTGCATAAACGCCTCCTGTGACATCAGCTCTGCATATCGTAGCGCCTCTTCCTCGCTCAACCCCGCGAGACCAACGCCAAAGCGGCCCTGCAGATGCAGCTGCTCCTTTTCCTGCGCGATAGCCTCACGCTTGAGTTCCTGCTGCTCGTTGACGATATAGTCCATCAGCGCGCCGCGGCCGGTATTTGTGTACCTATCGGTCGCGCCATTGTGGCCGCGCTCGCTTGACCGCCGTAGACGGCGTTTCTTGCTCGCGAGGGAATCAGCGCCGTTGGAACTGTACGCCCAGTACCGCAGGTGCGTTCCGAGCGTCACCATGCCCCGCAGAGCTGTGGGGTCGGGGTCCAGTGCCAAGGCACCGGCAGCGTAGAGGTTGATCCCCACGCCCTGGACTGAGGCCTCAGCCTGGACTAGACGACGGCGCGCACGCGACGAGAAGCGTGAGTTGAGAGTGCGCAGAGGTTCTGTGATGGATGCAAGTGGGTCCCATGCCTGTACGAGGCCGTCGTTGCCGCCGTGGACGAGGTATAGCGCCGATAGGGCCAGACAGGAGATTTGAGGAGAGTCGGTTTGAATAGTGCGAAGAGGCTGGAGGGTGTTTGTAATTGACGCGTTGCGAGATTGCGGGCCTCGCATATCCCAGATATAAACAGCCCCAGTCTTGGTACCAACAGTGAGAAAGCGGCCACGATGGCCTGGGATATTGTGCAATGAGTTTCCTTCACTATGTTCTGGAGTCGCAAAGATCGCAGATGCAGTATTGCCGCCATTCATGGTGAGAATCGGGTCCTCTGGCACCCAGAGAATTGCAAACGTCGACATATCAACCGCGTTCGCCGTAAACTCGATAGTTTGCGCTCCGTCCCACGCCAATGCAGTGGTTCTCCACTCTTCTACGAACGTAGATGCACCATTCCGTTTAACAGGGCTCATTGATATCGCCTGTTCAGCCGCTTTAACCTTCAAACTAGCCGGTTTTCCACCACCAAAGAGCGAAGCGACGGTAGTCGCCTTCTCCTGAACCGGCGGGGTTTTCGGAATTGGGAAGCGATCGAGAGAAGCCTGTTCTGCTCTCATACGGGTGAACCGTGTAATGTGTGCAGGCTCTGACTCAGGGGCACCACACTGGATGACGACTGCGCACTCTCCTGCACCGCGTCCATCGTCGCCCGCAAAATCGACCTGAAGCCTACGGCGCATGTCCCAGCCATTGCAGACTTTACGGAAGATGGCAGGGCGGAAAGCAAAAAATGTTTCGAGCTCTCGGTTCTCCGCTAGCAGTTGCTTCTTGGTAAGACCAGAGGAGTGGGGCGAGGATCGGGGAGAGTAGCTCCCGTCGAACTCGGCGTCTTGGTATGGGTCTTCACGCGCGACACGACGGGTGGGTTCAGCGAGCTTCCAAGCGACGCTACGGCCAGTTTCCCAGGCCATCGTTGCAAGGCTTTCTTCGTCCAACTTTGCGTTTTTCTCAATCGGAGCTCGGTGGATACTTTGGGTCAAGTAAAATACTTCACCTAGAGCATTCAAAGCCATTGCCCAAATACGCTCTGAATCCTTTCGCTTCGCGTTGTATGAGTCGTCCACGCTGATGGCTATTATGGGAACACCCGGACTAATGGCCCAACGAGCTGTAATCTCCCCCTTGGCCAACCGATGCCCATCTAGGTTGTCAACGCCAAATGAATACGTCGTGATGATTCCGCATGAAGAACCCGTCATGATTCCCACAAGGCCATCCGTCATCGAAGGCACAGCAATCGACTTCGCAATCCATACGGAAGATACGGACTCGAAACGGCTCGGCACTTTGGGAACCTCAGGCGGATGAACTTCGTAATCCGCGGTGCGAGCCAGGAACCTGCCACGCATCTCTTCCGACGAACGGAAGTAGGCCTGCCCCCCTGGAAAACCTTCGCCGCACACCATGCCAAACGGCTGGCTAACATCCATGACATTCGGCGCACCGATCACTGATCCGTCTCCAAGACCATAGGGCTGGTCGCCCGGGAATAGATCAGCAAACTGAGGCAGCGCCTGTGGGTCGGACAAGCCCCAAGTGTCAACTTTTCCAATATTCGGATCGCTGGTGCAAGCCGTACCCGTCTCATCGCTTCCATGAATGAATCTCGGAGACTTCCTGCCATTATCAAAAACGGCATGGATATGGTTCACAGTCGTAAACAGCTGCGAGTTATACGTCACAGCTGCATTCGCATTGTTCGCCGCGCTATTCGTGCGAGACGACGCTCCATGACCTTTCGCGATCTGCTGCGGCTTACCGCGAGCAAGAGAGCGCAGAAGCCTCGTCCGAAGAATATACTCGCTGCGCCATGATGCAAGGGCCGTCAGCCGCGCGAAAAACCGTTGCTCGGCACGTTGTCGGTCGCGAGTTTCTTGATCAGAGCTGCGGCGGTTGTTGCGCGCGGCGTAGCCTTCATCTGTGGCATCTTGTCCAGGGAAGAATCGCGAAAAAGCGATGCGCCAGGCGTGCGGCGTGGTAACAAGATTATAGAACCTTCGGGACACAAGTGATACCGTTGACAGAGATGTTGCGGGTAAATGCGACAATATGTGAGTCAGAACCTCTGCTTGGTATTAGCTTGCGCTCGTAATTTGCGGGCGAATTTGGGCTCACCATTAGGGAATTGCTCCAGTTGGACCCCATCATTGCTGCTTGTTCTGCCCTTGGTTACTTTGAACCCAGGACCGCTTCTCCGATTCTTTGGAGATTCGGGTCCTAGATCAATTTCACCTCCTGCGGTCGCATTGAATGATGGGTGGGGCAGGTTATCGCCCTCCAGAACCCCGTTCAGTGGCAATTCGCCCACCACGCCGCCCTCTGCGCCATCGACGGATTGCAGAGGGACGATCGCGGAAGCACCGACAACTGACTGCGGTTGCTCATTATACGAGCTTGCCGCGAGGGCAGCGATGTCTGGATCTGAAAAGCCATGTTGAGAAGATTGGGTAAAACGTTCCGGAATTGTATGAGTAATCGTGTTTGAGATATCGGTAGGCTCAGATTGCATATATGGAGGCGGAAGAAATTGGTAAGCGCGTTTGACTGAGCCAGTTGGTCTGGGTCAGTCTATATATAAGGGTGAGAAAGTGCGTAGTGCGTTGCGGTCTATAATTGTTGTGTTGAAGTAGAAGTAGAAGCAACGCGATCAAGCAAGATAAAAGGATTCATCGCGTCGGGAGATTTGACGCACGTGCATTTTCATTGGTAGATAGCGGAAAATTTATGATCCGGGTTTATGGGCTGGTTCCGAGAATCAACCCCTCTACACCCTCCAAGGACGAATGGCCGAGTAACTCTGGAAGAGCATAATTATAGTGGGAATACATCATAAATATGGAGGTAGCCTTAAGATTTTCTCTTAGAATATATTTTTCGTGTCATTTTATAACTCATATATGGGCAGTTATAAGTATCCAAGCTCTCAGACTGCTCTCACCTATTTACGGGATCTCTTCTTAATCAAATCTGCCGCCTTCTCAGCAACAGCGTACATCGTCGCACAGGTGTGCGTTGACGGGATCATGGGGATAAGACTGATATCTCCAATGCTCAATCCAGTAACTCCGTAGACTAGTAGCTCTGGGCTGACAACACCCGCCAAGTGGCGAGGCGCCATCGCTGCGGATCCAGAACTATGGGCAGTCGTAGAGCCCATGGACCTGACAACATACGCCGCGAGATCCGCATCAGACGTGATGTTTACGCCTGGTGACGTCTCCGATGGTGACAGCTGCTTCATCGCCTCAGTGGCGAACCACTTGCGGGCAAACTTGAGCGACTCGACCATGATGTCAGTGTCGGTTGGGTTGATGAGGGTGTTGAAGTCGACAATCGGCTCGGCGTAGTGGTCCGTCGTGTTCAGGCGCACGGTTCCGCGGCTCAGGGGCTTCTCATTGCTTAGTGAGGAGGTACCACCGCCAGAGAAGGTGATTTCAACAACGCCGTTGTTGCGCTTGCTAAAGGTCTTGAGGAGGAGATCACGCTGCGCGACGAAACCTTTGACGTTCACAGACGTGTAGGTAGAGGGCAGCAGCTTGGCAGCGTTCTGGACCTGCGCTTTGGCAATGATGGACTTGTAGTTGGGGCTCATCTGTGGGAGGGAAGGGACAGAGAGAGAGTTCCCAACGCCAACTGAGAGGGGACCCTTACGGTCGAGCCATTGCTCAGCAGCCCATGCTGCGAAGGTCGCATTTGTATAAAGCGAGCTAGGATTCGGACTGAGATCCGTCGCATCTGCATGGTGTTAGGATCAAGGTCAGAGAGGCCAATCCAGGAGTAACTTACAGCTGTAGCCGATGCTCGTCACGGCGTGATCTTGGAGGTTTGCTCCTACACCTGGCAGATCGACAATCAGCTTGATGCCAGCTTCATCCAGGAGGTCCTTCGGCCCGAGGCCACTACGCTGAAGCACCTGTGGGGTGTGCAACCAGCCGGCACAGAGGACAATCTCCTGCTTTGCCTTGACGGAGATGGTAGGCGCGCCATTTGGGGTGCCTCTTTCTTGAATCGTGATTGACTCTGCATGCTTTTTGGCACTGAAGAGAACCTCGTTGGTCCTGTATCCAGTGATGATCTTCAGGTTCTTTCTGCTGGCCACAGGGTCGTAGTATCCGCTTCGCGCGTATGAGCGGCGATAAGTCTGATCGTTGTTGGTTGGTACCCAGAACGCGCCATAAGCATCTCCCGCCGCAGCTTCCTTTTGGATCGGGACGCCAAGTTCAGCCCATGCTTTCCACTGGACCTCTGCGAAGAGTTAGAATATGTCGTATATTATGAGTTAGGAGAGGCCTAACTAATAGTAGGCCACAGCCAGTCTGGGAAGGTGGCTTGGATAGGACCATTTGTGCCGTAAGCTTTCTTGGCATCCCAAGTGATACCGTACTCCTCAGCTAGGTCCGCACGCGGGGCGGTGAAGTTCGTGCTCTACAAGAATTAGCATTTATTAAATCACATCCGCACCCCCGCGGTGGCAATAATAGTTAACTCACCTTCTTAAAGTAAGGTAGCAGGCCAGAAAATCCCCATCCAGGGTTCCCTAGCTTCTCCCAGTTGTCGTAGTCGTCGGCAGCACCACGATCAAACATCATTCCGTTCACAGTAGAGCCACCTCCAACAACGGAAGCGGCGAACGCCCCAGAAACACGTCCGCCAAGTCCAGGCTGTGGCACAGACGAGACGTTGAACATGTTGATCGGACGGTAGTTTACCGCGCTTGACGGGTCCAGCTGGGCCGGGTTGTTGTCGAAGTATCCATATTCGACCACCAGAACGGACTCTACAAGAAAGTGATAAGCAACCGAGCAAGGGATATGCCTTTCCAAGTTCAACTATGCTTACTGGATGGATCCTCGCTCAAACGGTTGGCAATCACAAGTCCGCTCTGCCCTCCACCAACAATCACATAATCATAACTAGCTTGAAGCTGTTCCGCGTTGACCTCGCGGTCGCGTAGAGCTAAAAGAGTGCTTGGATACGCGTTTACCACTCCTGAGAGCGCCAGCAGTGGGGTAAGACCCAGTAAAGGGGCTTTGAGCCAAGCCATTGTGAATTACAGAGAGAAATACTTCGACTGGGGAGACGAGGCAAAGCTAAGGACGAGCTTGGATGAGAAAGAAGTGAGCGGAGAAGACGGACACCTGCCTTCTTGTACTTCATGAAATCAAATTTCCAATCATCCCAACTACCGTAAGCAGCTAATGCCGAGCGGGGAAGCTCCTATACCTTCATATAGCCTCCAATGGCAAATGGCATTATGGTCGCCGGCATAGGAACGAGGCTAAAGCTCATGGCTAACCGGACAAGGGGACTGGGAGAAGTTTGTAATATACTCGTAAGTGCAAACAAAGCATCGAGGTATGTCGTGATTGGCGCCCACAGATAGCGTCCGTACCTGCTTCTCACCGGGCGTTTGTCGGCGCGCGAGGATAATCTAAGATTACAGTCTTAGGCGGATTATTTTCCCGGCTGGGCGTTCTAGTTAAAATCGAACACGAGAAGTCCTGGTTGGTAAGTGCTCGGAGCCGGTGTTGTAGCATAAAGTAACGCGGACTTAGCTGCAGGATCACTCTTGGTCTAGACGCTTGGATGGATCCTTTCCATCGAGTGTTACAGATACATTCACATACGAGCACTATAAGAAACGTGCGCAGAACGTGGCAATGGTGAAGATCTGCATCCATTGCGGGGTGAATAGGGGAGATAGAACTGTACTGGGAAATATCCGACGATATTTGGATTGCGTAGAGAAATAGGCTGTTCTGTACCGTACAATTCAAACATATTGTCGTTGAGAAATAAAGTAAACAAGCATACTTCGTGGCGGCGGCGGCGCGATAACAAGATTTGCCCCACATGTTGGTCAATCACGTGTGTATGTCACGTGATACATCCACGTGATTACTAACTTCGCCTCACAGAATATTCTAGCATCACCGACATCATTCCAGCGCCTTCACCATCGTCCACTACGATTACCACCCAACCTTCGAGAAAGACGACGATGCCTCTAGAATGACTTATCAGCATGTTGCGTACCACTTCTCGTAAGTAATAGAATATTCTCGCAAACGTAAGTTAAGTCTATATAACCATCGTGAACACACCGAGTAAGTGCTTTTCTTTCTTCATCAAAACACAATCATCCATCAAGATCTTCATACAATCTCGAACAATCCAACAAGCCCTCAGCGAATTCCTCTTACCAACATTATCACTCCAACACAAACACGCAAAATGTCTTTCCACCCACACGCATTCTTCTCCTCCCCATCCCAGTCCGCCTCCTCATTCACTCCTCTCTTCCGCCTCCTCGACGACTTCGACACCTACTCGCGCCACACACCTCGCCAATGCGCACGTGCTGAGAAGACCTTCGTCCCAAAGTTTGACGTCAAGGAGCTCCCAGCCCACTTTGAGCTGCACGGCGAGCTCGCGGGCATCAATCAACGCGATGTCACCATCGAGTTCACGGACCCACAGACACTGAGCATCCGCGGACGCTCTGAGCGCTCCTACACCGCCGGCACTCCACCTGCCGCCATCGAGGCCGATACCCCAACACCTGCCATCAGCGAGGACGGCGCCACCACGCCAAAGAGCGATCACCAGCCTACAGTTGAAGATGAGGACACACCAACCACCACCGTCGCAGCCCCTGAGGCAGTTCAGCCAGAGAAGCCGCAGAAGAAGGAGCCTGAAGAGCGCTTCTGGGTCTCGGAGCGAAGCATCGGCTCGTTTGCGCGCTCCTTCACTTTCCCGGGACGCATTGACCAGGATGGGGTTACTGCATCGATGAAGGATGGGATCTTGAGCGTTGTGGTTCCCAAGGCGAAGAAGCATGAGAGCCGCAAGATTGAGATCATGTAAATGACTTGCGAGGAAACTTTACTGAGTCTATTCTGCATCGAGATGGGAGTTGGAAGGAGTTTTTAGTTCAAGCGAGAGGTTTACTTTGAAGCAAACAATGACGCTTTTACAGTTCTGCTTTAGTTGTACTCTACCAAATCAAATAATACAAATCAATCCAATAAATCCAATAAATCCAATACATTAGTGCAAACCCAACATAAATTTGCTTTGAATGTGACGGCATCTCATTGTGATTATTATCGTGAACTCAGTAATATAATTTACTTCTAGATTTAATAAATAATATTAATACATCAAAACCTCCCCAAAAATAAAAGCCGGATCCATATTAGAGTTTCTTTCTCCGGAATATATTCTAATCAATTAATGACACCTTGTCGGATACTTTAACTGACGAGGCATGACCACACGAGACTCTGACCACACCTAGTGTTGAGAAGCCAGTGCATCTTGGCGGGGTATTTCACCCGTTTTACCTCCGTCCTCTCCGTCACATCTCACAAAACATCCATAATTTTAGACGACGCAAGCTAACGCACACTCACAAGCTACCCTAATCATTTATCCCATCATAAATACTGTTTGGAGATTCAGTCCAAAAACGGCGACCGGCTTCCGCTCGTCCGTTGGCGGCGCCGCGCTGTCCCAAGGCGCATACTCCCGCCTTGGCTGGTGGCGCGGAAAGGTTATTCGGACCTTCTCGTATTTATCCATGTCCAGTCCGGCAACGGGGTATTCAGTACGTGTAGTTACTACTGTATCCGATTATAAGTTGTTCTTGATGGTTAGAATCGCCGCATGATCAATGCCAGGAACAGTGAGATTTTTTATCTCCGATACTACTGGCTATGGCTACATGAGCCACCCATTACGATGATAGGTGCGTTATTGTGCTTATTAAGGAGGACCGTTACCGTCCATTTCAGCTGGAATATCTTGGGGACCAGTTTAATAGAAGGGCTCAAAGTTGATCCCTGTGACGAAGCAACGAAGTTACGGCGGCGGGCAAAATGTTTGCGAAGGTCGCGGCCCTCCAAGGAGCTTTAAATTCCATTCAAGTTTTGCCCAGAACATGGATTGGGTTGTCGTGAGAAGCGCCACGAGCATGCGGCGACAGGAAGCCACGACAATAAAAAGTCACGATGACAAGAAGTTGCGGCGACAAGACAATCCCGACAGTGGCACTGCCATGACCAACTCTTCTATCCCGGTATGCCGGTCACGATGGCTGTTGTATCTGCAACCCGGCATACTGGATCGTGATAGACTTCCGGATCGTGGTGAGGTGCTGGGCGAGGTTAGCGCTGTCGAGCTTCAGGATGGTCGCGGGCCCCCCGTTGATCCAGAGCAGAGGAGTACGCTCGTGGATGTTAGGGATGGTTGGCGAGAACTCCGTGATGACGGCCTGTTTGATCACGCATTGGTTTGGGAACGCCAAGGTCGGGTATTTCATTTGCCTGCCCTCTCTGAGAATGAGGGTCGAGGGGCATTATATACTCAGCCGCGTCCATCAATAGCGGGCTTCCAAACCAAAGTGCGGAGGAAAACGTCCCTCATCACAAACAAACCTGGGGAGTTCTGTAGCTGTCCTTCCATCGCCGTCTAAACCCGCCTCCCAATAACTAAACCTCATTCCCATGACTGCCCCTCGTTCCTTCCTTCATATTATCGCTCGTTCCTTCCTAAACTCCCACGCCCCGCTCCTTCCAATATATTATCCCTTGCTTCTTCCATACTATCCCGGTTCGTTCCTTCCAATATATAGCCCCTCTGGCTCCTTCTCAAACATAGCGTTCTGAGAAAACGGCAGCAGATAGAAAGATTGCCATAGAGAATGCGGTGGCAGAAGCGCGCTGTGCATCTGCAGAACTACAGCACCCGACGAAGCTCGGAGATCACACCTTCACAGCAGATTGGAGGCTGTGACAGGTATACAGCGGCGACAAAGAGCGGTGGTGACGAGAAAGGCGGTAACGATAGACGAAGCGGTAGTTAGAACACCAGCATCACCTCGAACCAAGTATGCCTCATCACCATCCCAGTATTCACTCCATAGTTCACAGATTTGCTAATTGTTGTCCAATAGCGTTGGTTAAGACCGGACCAGCCGGTTACTTACTTTGCCTGTCCCTCGTTCCTTCCTTGATATTATGCCTCGTTCCTTCCTATATTATCCCCCTTCGCTCCTTCGCTCCTTCCCTCCCAATATATTCTCCCTCGTTCCTTCCCATATCATCGCCCAACTCGCACCTTCCCATGTCCTCCCTCCCTCCCTCGCATCTTCCCATCGCAGCCCCCCTTTCAAGCACCACCCGCCCCCGCAGCTCCAACAGAGGTATATATACCACCTTCCCCACGCACGCATCCAACCCGCTTAACTTCTCACAGACAAAGTAAAAGTACACCGGAATATCGACGTGGGGGTGCTGGAATAAGCTGGCGCGGATTTGGTGAGTTAAGAGTGCTGGGTGCCGAGGGGGTTGGCTGCGGTTTGTAGAGGCGATGGTGAGAATGAACGGCGGCGACGAGAACCGCTTACCTCCCACCAACGAAACTGCGTCCACAGCAACGCCTGGCAGTATACACCGCACCACCCGTCCGCGCTACAAACAGGCACCCCTGTACTTATTGGCTTGTGGTATTTTGTTTGATCATGAGTCTATGTGGAAGCCGGGGAAGACGTGGCCCCATTTCCGACCGATCGGTTGGTTGCTGCGGATCCTCACAAGTCCATGGGATCAAGCACTCGCATTTAGATTTTAGAATTTAATTAATTTCTTTTTTCATGAACACATCCTACGCCTGGTTGGTATCTCTCAAAAGGTGTATCCCGCCCCTAAATATACACCTCGCTCCCCCTTCCAATTGCCCCTTAAAAAAGAGGTTTCGCTAATCCAACGCCACAAAAAATGATTGATCCCCCTCCCAAAAATCGCTCCTGCCCAAATATATCTATCTCTATTCCCGAGTTGAATCCGCTCCCATTATACTTGTATATACCCGGACCCCCTCATACCGAGGGGGTCCGCGCAGTGGTGTGAAAGGTGTGTGAAAGGTGATGATGACGAAAGGTTGTTATACACCGATCGTTCCTCACAAATCCATAAACCAATCATCATCCCCCACCTTCAACCCCTTCATACTCTCCGTCTGCTCCCTCTTCTCCTCCTTCGTCTTAACCACCTTCTCCTGCTTCACCGGCGGCGGCCTCTCCTCCATATCCCTCGCCCTGTATGCCTCGAGATCCTCGCCCTCAAGCATATCAGGGTTAAACGCGAAGGAGCCCCTAGGAATAAACGTAGCAGCGAACACCGTGCACGCGATGATGGTGAACTGCACACCACCCACGTACTTGACAGCTTCGTGCACGTCCCCGCCATTCGCCGCGGAGACTTTGTCAATGTAAGTTCCCAGTAATGGGGAACAGATGGAGTAGGTGACGATATACGTCGAGTAGAGGAACGCCATCACTGTCACCAAGGCACTAACGTCTTTGCGTTCGTGCTCCTGTCGGTGCAACATAGCTTGCAGGTAAGCGGAGAGGGAAATATCTCCCGCAGCCCATCCAAACGATATCGGAATGAACGTCGCCGCCACCATCCACGCCTGACCCACCTGCCCCGGCGTCGGATGCCAGAAGGCGAGGTACCACACGATCAGCAGTCCGCAGGCATCCAGTCGCAACCACGGCATAGGTGTGGTGACTAGATTAGTAAAAAGGAAAACGAACAGCGCGCCGAGCAGTTCTCCGAAGTTCGATCCCCCGACGATGAGCTGTGCCCACGCAGAGTTGTGGAGGTAGCGCTGCGCGAGGAGGGGGGCGATGTTGTTCTCGAGGTAGCGATGCGCGTAGAGGGCGAGGGAGTAGGAAGGGAGGAGCCAGATGAATTTGCGGCTTGTGAAGAGGATGCGAGCGCCTGTGCTGATGGAGACGAAGAAGAGTTGCGTGGATTGGGAGAGGAGGGAGAGGTAGGAGGGACTGTTGACGGTGCGGAGTTTGGGGGCCGTGGTGGGGTGCTCGGCGGTCGAAATGCAGGACCAGATGCACGCGGCGCCGGCGAAGCAGAAGGGGGAGACGATGATGGCCATGTTGTTGCCGAGGTGGGGGATGAGGACGAGGGCGGTGGTGAAGGCGCCGGCGGTGCCGGTCACTTCGTAGAAGATGTGGACGGTGGCGTCGAGGCGGCGGAGCTTTTGTACTGTGGGATGTTAGTGAGTGGTGTTAATGGTGAGATATATCAGACTGACCGTCGGAGCGGACAATGTCTCGCGGGATGACGCGGCGGATAAGCTCGACCATGCCGTAGACGACACCGGTCACGCAGTAGACGGGAATCATGCCGTCAGTGTTAAAGTCCCCGTAATACGAGAAGTCGCCGGCTGGAGTGCCTGCAGGCTTGAAAGTGCCGCCCGTTGCAGCGTCGACGATGAGGATGACGGTAGTGAATAACGCAAAAACCAGAATGGCGACGGAGAGGACGATGCGTGTCTCCCATCTCTTTACCAGAGGGGCGACGAGGATGGCGCCGAAGCACTGGAAGGCTTGGTTGAGGCCTTGGAGTAGGCCGATGCGGCCGAATGTGACAGGCGTATATCCGCCAACGCGGGCGGCGTAGTCGTAGCGATTCGATGCGAGTGAGATGAAGGAGCCGACAAAGACTTCGAGACCAAATTTATATACCATGATTCCTGCGATATAGATCATCATATTCTTCTTCTCGGAGCGGGTGAAGAGATGCCATGTCGCGAAGACATTCCCGCTCTTGGGATCCATCATGGCGGGAAACATTGTGGCAGTAGTTTTCTGCTGTGCTGGCCGGATTGCTTCTTGAGCAGCAGGGTCAGACGTCGAGGAGGCAAGGCGCCGCTCTGCCTTTCTCACAGGAAGTGATGATGGAGATGTTGAACATAGACAGCCATGACCATCGATCTCTGGCAGTGGATCCGCAGCGCCGGGTCTTATATGTATATGTAGGCAGACTGACGCAGCACCAGGCTCTGGCGCGCCTGGGTGAAAAAGAAAGGAAAGAGGGGCGTCTTACGTTTGAGCGCCATTCATGCAGTCGGGGCACTGCTCGGGACGCCGTCTGGTGTCTATTTTCCACACGAAGGCGCGGGTTGGGTGGGGTTAATTTTTGGTTCGTAGCTGCGGATTACGGGTTCTACAGCGGTGATGGGGGACCCAGTGATAGACAGAATGACCGCACTGATAGTCGAAGTGTGATGGAGGCTTGGGAGACAGGGAGGATGATTAGTGGCGCGACGATGAAAAGGCTGGATTGAAGGGTTCGTTGGGGGTTTCGGTGGACTAGGGGTGGGAGGGTAGGGCGTGAATCGACCCAGTAGATGCAGTTTAGGAAGGAACGTGGGATTATGAGCATAAGGTGGGAGACAGGGTCTTGTCTGGGCGGGCCATGTCGGCGATCCGGAACCTTACGGGGCGACAGTGTGGTGGGGTGGGGGGTAGGGGGGGTTAGGGGAGGAATCGGGGAAATCCATAATTTGTGCACAGTAGCACAGTAGAGTAGTACATACTGAGTTCATTAGGTAGGATGTAACTGTTTGAAGTGTCTGTAGTGTCTTTAAGGAGCTTTAAGGAGACCCTATGAGGATAGTTTGAAGGGGTTCATAGGAGATACCAGGGGATAGAGCAACAGGGCACAGTCTGGATTGCCAATAGTGCGAGTTGGTCTAGAGCATCGTAGTGGCTGGTGGCCCGAACAATTTGATACGTACATGTACAGTATGTAGTGTAGATAGCTGTGTCCAGTTAGTTAGAGACGATTCTGTATAATATTGGCATGGTATGTACTTAATAGAGATATAGTCAGTGCAACTACTCACCCAATACTTCTGGAAGTATTGGGTGAGTAGGGGCCAGTAACGGGCAAATAGAGGTCAATGGCAGTGACGTGGATCGCGATTTGAGGGCGATGGTGGTGCGATGGACGCGATGGATGGGATTTGAGTATTGGGAGTTTAGTGGGAGTATTGGATGTAGTGGGTGAAGAAGGGCCAGTCGCAGTGCAGCAGTAACAGTCGTTGGGCGTGGGGGGGGTTTGAAGTTGGGATGGGGGATTTGAGGTTGAGGGGCGTGGGACGTGGGGTGTTCGACGTCGTGCGGGTGTGGTCTGGGAACGTGGCGTCAGACGGCGCTGCGATTGGGTTGCGGGTCTGGTCAGTGCAGGATAGACCCCTGTTAACGATGGCCGCCTCCACCGCCATTTACCGCTAATCCACTATCAAGCGAACCGCGAGACGCCACTCGACAGGGGTAGCTGACAGTGGTGTAAATGTGTTGTGCAGGGGGAGCAAGGGGCAGAGCAGTGCGAGCATCGATGGCTTCAAACTGTACTATACGCGGTAGCACTACTGATTAACTAATGCTCGACTACTGCTCTACTACTGCCATACTAACTACTCTACTGCTTACATCAAGTAGTATTCACTCAACTTAGTTCTCAAAGGATTCCTGTCGCGATTCTCAATGTGGGAGTAGGATGGGTTATCACGTGTTATCATCTCATCTCATGCACATAATAAATGCAGCTTCTTAATGCGGATATACAAATTGAAAGAAGAGACGGCCTGTGATAGGCAACGACGGGAGGGGATAGGCCGTGATGGTCCTCTCACACTTACCCAAATCCATAGCATCTTTATCGAAGATCCCCCAAGTTCCTGCAGCCGGAAGGAAGCTAACCGTGCTTCGAGAAGGGTTCGATTCGACGGCGGAAGGAACACTAACCCTACCTGTCGCTCCTTCCTTCACTCTCACACATCCCTCCCATCGGGAAATGCGGTAAAAGGGTCAAACCAAAAAATAAAGAGGGTTCAACGTTGCAGTCTCCTAGTTAACTCTAGTGCTCTCCTTACTACGCCACAACTAATCCGACGAATATCACGTGTGGAACCAACCGTGGGTCTGAGACAGCGGAATTGAATCGATACAGTACTTCGTGGTGTACTCTGCTCTACTCTAGCTCCTAGCCTCCCTCCCCTCCCGCCCGCCGCCTTCCTTCCCATCTCAACTCACTCACAGACCACAAGGCGAGATGATTCGCTCTCACGACTCGACGCACACCACACAACCACCATCATCAATATATCCCACACCCCGCGTACCTGCGCCGTACCTGTGTGTGAAGAGCGGCGGGAAAACCTTCTCATCACAATCAACCCGTCTCTTGGTAAATCAATTCCAAGACCTCGTTATCGAAAAGTATGTCACTCAATCAGGATGGGCGGGAGTAACAGCCAAGCGACGAGATGGAGGAGAGTATTGAAGCCAAGAATGAGGAAGACCGGTCAAAACAGGAGCCAAGGACTATCAATGAACCTGCCATTGCACCACGCCTTCATTGTCGAACTCCAAGACTTTACTAGCAGCTTCTAACACCTAACTCCAAGCAAGTAGAGCTGCGAGTCAAAACGGAAGCCAAGGTATCACCTCATCTCGGCGGTGACACTTCCCATCACCACTTCGCATCCACCTGTCCCTCTCTTCTCCTCCCTCCAACCACCTCCTCTCCCCGAAACCTCAGCCCGAGACACTCACCACCTCCCTCCCCACCCCACCACCCCCCACGACCACAACAACCACCACCTCTCACCCCCCCACAAACCACCACGTTCACTCAATCCCCCTCCCTGTATCTCCTCCGCCTTCCAAACCCCTTCTAGAGAGGCTTGGCACTAGCCCTCCGTCGCGCACACACGTTCACGCCGTAGCACGGTGCTATCTCTCACCTCGGCAGCCCTTGTATCCACGTGGTCGCGTCGAGACCGGTGTCTTGGCAGGGCTAGAGGGCGCCGGCGTGGTCGTGATCGTGCCGGCGAGGGAGTTGAGATTGTCCGAGCACATGTGCGGAAGAGACTAGTACGGAGCCCTGGCCGGGAATTGTGACGAGCGAGCTCCCTGTTGCCCTCGTGGGTAGGAACGCGAGGGCCGGATAGGGGCTGGGGAGTGAGTGTGAGCAGTGGAGGAACGAACTACTATGCTCAGCATTGAAACATTCTAATACTGCATAGCTAATCCTCCCTCCTGATCGTGAACCCCCTCTCCCCTCATGCTCGCGATGACCGCGCGCGCTGCGGTCATGTCTCAATCCGGCGATGTGCGTGTGTGGATATTTGCTTGGTTGCGTGGCCTTCCTTTTTTTTTTTTTTTTTT